AACAATGCCCTAAAATATTGGTAGAGAGTTCCGGGACACCCTATGTAATAAAATTTTGCAAATATAAAAATTTTCTAATCGATAAAAAATGTATTTAAATATAATATTAAGTTGTTTTCGTTTTTACATGTTTCGAGCGGTGTAAGTTCGTACTCTTTGAACACTATGTTTGAAGTAATATGGCCATATACGATATTTGTGTTTATGGCTTTGTTTTTGTTTTTACACAGACATAGTTTTCACTTAAAAACGAAACCCTGGTAAAGACACAAAAAACTGAATGTGTAAAAAATAGGGTCTGGCAGTTACAGGTATAGCCTAATCCTTCCTTCGTTAGCGACTGTCCATATGCCTTAAAGTAATGGAAAAGGTAACTTTTTAAAGGGAAATTTCTTCTTAGTCAGTTTGAAAGGATTTTGGACTATTGCATAGTTAATGACAGTTTGACCGGAGTAGTTGCCCAAGTGAGCTACAACCAATCTTTGACCCTGCTGAGGTTTCTCATCAAAATGATAATAGAGTCCTTTTTAGCATAGGTTTATGAGGCGACGAACCTAAAGGTTCAATGAGTTAAAAAGCTCTAATGGATACAACAGAGCTTTTTACGTCCCTTGGTAAAGAACAGAATCAAAACTTATAAACCTTTTCCTGTTGGTAACAAATTCCGCAAAACATAACACCATTCATTGAAACCTGTAACCCAGTACCGGCCAAGTAAAACCCAGTACTAGTACTGGCCAAGTATAACCCAGTACTGGCCCAGTATAACCCATAACTGGCCAAGTATAACCCAGTACTAGCCCAGTACAACCCAGTACCGGCCAAGGGGCCAAGTATAACCCAGTACTGGCCCAGTATAACCCAGTACTAGCCCACTATAACCCGGTTCTGGCCCAGTATAACCCGGTACTAGCCCAGTATAACCCAGTACCGGCCCAGTAATGGCCCAGTATAACCCAATACTGGCCCACTATAACCCAGTACTGGCCCAGTATAACCCAGTACTGGCCCAGTAAAGCCCAGTACTGGCCCAGTAAATCCCAGTACTGGCCCAGTAAAGCCCAGTACTGGCCCAGTTTAACCCAGTACTGGCCCAGTACAACCCAGTACTGGCCCACTATAATAACCCAGTACCGGCCAAGTATAACCCAGTACCGACCCAGTATAGCCCAGTACCGACCCAGTGTAACCCAGTACTGGCCCAGTATAACCCAGTAACGACCCAGTATAATCCAGTACTGGCCCAGTATAACCCAGTACTGGCCCAGTATAATCCAGTACTGGCCCAGTATAACCCAGTTATGGCCCAGTATAACCCAGTACTGGCCTAGTATAACCCAGCGTACACGTATTTCCAAGCGTACACAGATTACGTACATTATAGAACCTACCATTTTATAGTAGTTCATAATAATCAGTAAAATTATAGCTTCCTCTCTAATACATGGGGTGCTGTATACATGTTTAGCATGGTGTTGTAACACGGTGTTGTTGTAAATTGAACTACACCATTCTACGACATAGAACTTTTGTGTTAGTTTACCTCAAACCCACCAGTCAGCGCCTACTGCCACAGATAGACCTACAACAATGTCCTGTCTCTGAAACTACAGTGGTGGTAGTTGATACTAATATCAAACGAGAGCAGCACTTGCCACGATCAGATAACAAACAGAGGACGTACCATTGATTTATAACCAATGAATATACTATAATTAATACAACAAATAATTGTAGAAAATTAATTCTGCAAATTAAAAGTAGTTATAAAGGTTACTAAGGTAAGCAAATATGTAGCTTATTAAATAAATATATATATATATTTATAATAATCTACATATAAAGTTTTTTCCCAAAATATGGCTTTAAGTGAATTTTCCTGTAGGGAAGAAGCTATTACATGTTTTATCTATGCTATTACCGTAGGTGGCATGGTAAGACATGGACCCGGGACCGACATATTACTTTTTTTTCATTTTGATGTACCTAGAGGCCATAAAAACACACAATTCGTTAATATTATATATATATACACACGTCCGTGAATATTGAGGTTACCACCTACCCGCACAGGACAGATCCCATACATACTGTAGTTTAACCAACGACTACGATATTGGTCAACTTGCTTTCAGGCATTGACTATATGACACTTAGTGTTATTAGGTCCTATTAGTTTTAGGGCGTAGGTACTGGAATTATTTACTCTCGTTAATTTTTAACTGCCTATTAGACTTCAATAATTGTGGTATGTTTTGAAATTTTAAGAAGCCCGTTTTTACTATAGCATAGATAAAACATAATAGGTACTAGTATGTTTTATCTATGGTACTAGGTAGGAATGCGTGTACAATTGCAATGAGCTTGCAATTGTTAAACGTCATATTTTACTACACTTGGAGTACTGTAACTGTAGCGACTTGGAATCCTGGACTAGACGAACCTTTAAAATGGAGTAACATTATAGTAAGAAAGGATCATTGATAATAGTTCTCATGGGGAGATTCATGGAAGATGTATAATCAATGGTTCGATCTATCAGCTGTTTATTCTATTACAACGTGAACCTCAAAAACACTAGCCTGCCAGTGACATGAAAAAAGACAAATTGCTTATTCTTATTATTTCCAAGTCCACAAGTGAAGAGAAGATCAGAAGAACTGAAGTGAAGTGTCAGAACAAAACTGCAGAAGTGTGGTGAAGTGTAATTTTCGTTTCATTCGTTCAACATGGATAGCCTAGGGTTCACTACGATACTCGGACAGAATACGATTGAATCGATCTATCGTGACTCTGCGATATTTCTTTCTTACTGAAGTCGAATCGGTTCTTATGACGACGGAATCATCGTATCTCGTCTCGTCTCGTATCGTATCCTATGTTTGTTTACGTTTACGTGTTATGTTGTTATTGTTGACATTGTCATTTTTGTGTGACTTAGTTTAGTTGTTGGAGGTGGCCAGGTACACGATACACGTAAATTAGATTTTAAAATGGAATTAACTTTAAAAGAGATGGAAACTTGTGCAACACACATATAACAGATTTAAATTGCTATACGCCAAGGAGATTTCGGGCTATGTAAGGTTAAAGGAAGAATTTGACCAATTGGGTATGTTTGTCTGGCATCAAACTGGTTTGCTTTTTCCACGAGAAGTACAGGTAGAAATATGTTATTACCACGAATACTTTAAGTATTCGTGGCTATTAAGTTACCTAATAAATCCATTCATGTTATTGTCTCCTTGATTTGATAATTGGCTAAAATTAAATAGATTAACTTAGATTATTAACCTCTAAACCTTGAAAGTATTAATCAGAAGATTCTGAGGAGTGGCGGTAAGGTAAGTAATTGTACCTAATAAGGTTAACGTAGGGACTTGATGAAGTTTGAAAACATTTCTAGGATTATCAGTAAGATTTAATCGGTTTCTTAAGAACATTAAAGTTATGAAAGCTTAACTTAACTTAAGTCGTTTCCTAAGATGCTACTTAGTTGCAATTTTTGCAGTTGTCAGAGCGATTGAATCGATAGGTAGCCTACAAGTCTGTAGAGAACCTAACTTATAGCCTAGGCCTAACTTAACTTACTATCAGATGGAAATTCAGTTTAATATTTCTATCGTAGGCCTATCAGTCAAAGTTTTCACTTGATATAACTTGAATAACTTATTTATTTATGCTTTTCAAAAAGACTCGTTAACACGTGCTGTGGCGGTTAAGTTGGGTACTTTGGTATTATCCGGAGGCCACCCTTACACAGCGCAGTTACTTATGTTAGGTTTGGTTTTCACAAATATGTTTGTTTGCAGGACTTTCCTAATTTCTATATGAATCTTACAATACCAGATGAGTCATAAATTACTTTTGCACGCCATATCCCCTCAAGTACTTAGCCAGGTCATTGACCGGAGCATTCATCACTTGTTACCACCTGTATCTGGGGTATTTGGCGGGCAAAAGTAAGACTCATTTGGTATAGTTCAATTCATAACGAAACAAGGAAAGTTTTATAAACATATTCATGATAATCCAACTTATCATGACCGCCGCAGCGTGCTGCATACCTACTTGGCGGAGTATAGCGGCAGCGACGCATTCAACTCAATCCTCGCCAACATCGCTGCCTTTTTTTCTGGGAGACAGAACTCAAAGGCCGCTAATTGTAATCATGTCAAATTTGGACAGTCAGTCAATTAAAGCAGGTTTTTTCCTATTACAGTAGCCTATGTAGTTATTTTTGGACTCTCCAGTAAAAAATTTCTCTAAAATAATTGGTCTCCGGATAATACCAAAGTAGGCCTACCCTAAGATTTCGCTTTGGCTTAGTTCAAGTTACCGGTACGTTAGTTTTAGATAATTACAAACAAGGCCTACTGTAAGTAAATTGTATACACACAAGAGTTGATAAGTATGCTATATCTAGTAATTGTTTTTAAACAAATAAATTTACACTTGGACCTCAATTTGTAATCGTATCCTTTTTTGTAAGTTTTGTTAGCTACTTAACCTAAGTTACCGGTAAGTTAATTTTAAAGATACAGCACACTGTTATAGATTGGTGGGCGATAATATTGACTAAGTTATATATACCTACTACATACAAGTTACCTAGGTAGTGCCTAACTTATATATTATAGTCAATGGCGATAATCTACTTGAGAATCCTCATAAGTTAACATCAAATCAATATTGAAATTCAATAACTTATACGGAAAGTAAATAAAAGAAACGTCTTATAACACTTAAAACATATATTTACGCTTATACTGTTACTCACAAGACGGTAAATATACAAAAACGATGGTAAGTGGTGATCGATTTCGATTGGACACTCCAATCATCATCAGACCCAATAGGCGAATGAGTCAGACCCACGTCATTCGCCTATTGGGTCTGATGATGATTGGAGTGTCCAATCGAAATCGATCACCACTTACCATCGTTTTTGTATATTTACCGTCTTGTGAGTAACAGTATAAGCGTAAATACTTACTTACTTACTGCCGTGGCTCTTGGTACCCAAGGAGGTACTTTGCCTCGCCAACACACTGCCTCCAGACTGCACGATCCATTGCTTCATCCTCTCTTCTTCCCATTCTTCTCAGATCTCTTCTCACTTGATCTCTCCACCTCAACTTGGGCCTTCCAGGAGGTCTTCTACCCTCGGGATTGTTGTTTAGGGCGTTTCTCACTAAGGATCCCTCTTCCTTTCTTAACACATGGCCTGCCCATCTCAATCTCCTACTTCTCACCTCAGCCACAATATCTGGGTCCCTGTACAACTCTCTCAACTCCCTGTTGTGCTTAACTCTCCATTCTCCGTTTTCAAAGGTTGGTCCAAAGATTTTCCTTAGAATCTTGTTTTCGAACACTATAAGTCGTTTCTCAGTTCTCTTGCTTATCACCCAATTCTCTGAGCCATATAGTAATACTGGTCTTATTATAGTTTTGTATATACGGATTTTAGTTTTCTGTGAGAGTAGGCGAGAACTCAACAATTTGTGGCATGCCGATAAACTTTTATGAGCTGCATTTAATCTTTGCTGAATTTCAGAGTCTTCCTCATTATTATCTGTCAGCATTACTCCTAGGTAAGAGAAATTGTTTACTTTATAAAATTTGTGTCCTTCTATTTCTACATGATTCTTATTATTTAATTGGATAGCTCTTCCACATTCCATTATCTTGGTTTTGTCTACATTGATATTTAAGCCAACTTTTTTAGTGTGGTTTATGAGTTTTGAGACCATAACTTTTAGTTCTTCTTCGTTTTTGGCCACAAGTGCCACATCATCTGCAAATGCCAGGATATTAATGTTGGTTCCCATAGTAATTCCAGCTTCTAGCTTTTGTAATTCTTGTAGAGAGTCTTCCAGAGCTAGGTTGAATAACAATGGGGACAAACCATCTCCTTGTCTCACACCAGTATTTATATCAAAATCCTCTGAGAATTCTCCATTGACTTTAACCTTGCATTTAGATCCTGAAACAGTTGACTTTGATAGATTTATTAACTTTTTAGGTATTCCATACTTTTCCATTACTTTCCAGAGTTTTCCCCTAGTGATCGAGTCGTATGCTTTGGAGAAGTCAATGAAAAGGCAGAGAAAGGATTTGTTGAATTCATAATATTTTGCAATTGCCTCTTTCAATATAAAAATTTGATCCGTGGTTGATCTTCCTCTTGTGAAGCCGGCTTGATGGTCTCCTATGATATTTGATGTATACTTCTCTAGTCTTTTTTGTAAAATCTTTGATAATACTTTATAGGTGCAGTTAAGGAGGGAAATTCCTCTGTAATTGGTGCATTCTTTTTTGTCTCCTTTCTTGTGAATGGGAATGATAACTGCTTCCTTCCATTCATTCGGAATCAATTCGTTGTCCCAAATATCAATGATCAGTTTGTGGATCTCCCTTGCCAGTTCTGTGCCTCCTGCTTTGATTACTTCCGATGGGATAGAGTCCTCCCCTGGGGCTTTATTATTTTTTAATTCCTTGATGGACGTTTTTACTTCTTGAATTGTTGGGTATGGTACAATTGGATCTACATTCTGGTACACTTCCTCCTCTTCTTCTTCTTGTTCAGACTGTCTTACATTCAAAAGATCTTTAAAATGTTCCTGCCATACTTGTAGTCCTTCTTTGTTCTGCACCACCAGTTGTCCTGATTTGTTTTTAATCCCATATGGCATTGGACTGTATCCCTTCCTAAAAAATCTTATTGATCGGTAGAAGTCTCTACTGTTGTTTGCTGTCCTGTCTTGTTCAGCTTTCTCTAAGATTTGGTTTACCCATTCTCTTTTTTTCCTCCGAAGTACCTTTACTGTCTCTCTTGAGATTTTTGTGTAGTTTTCTCTATCTCTTTCTTGTTTCTTATTGAGCCAGACTTCTTTTGCTTTTTTCCTTTGTAAGACATTAGCTTTACATTCTTCGTCGAACCATGGTTTTTTGTTTTTCCTTTCCCTTTTCCCACAAACTTCTTTTGCACAGTCTTGCAGGGTCTCTTTGATGTTCTTCCAAACCTTCTCAATTCTATTTACCTCTGAGTCTTCCTGATCAAGGTTATTTAATGCTTGGAAACGGTTAGACAGTTTAAGCTGAAACTCTTTCCTTACTCTTTCTTCTCTTAACTTTTCAAAATTAATATTTGTTGCAGTTTTCTGTTTTGTTAGTTTCTCTATCTTAATTCTCTGTCGTAGATTGACTAGAATAAGGTAGTGGTCTGACCCACATTCTGCGTTCCTTATGCTACGTACATTGGTAATATGACTAGAATGTCTGAGATCTATTAGAACATGATCTATTTGGTTGTTAGTTTTTCCATTTGGTGATGTCCATGTGACTTTGTGTATGTCTTTTCTTGGAAAAGATGTACTCATTACCTTCATGCTTATGGCTACCGAGAGACTCAAAAGTCTCACTCCATTATCATTGCTGTTTGAATGAAGGCTATGTGATCCTGCAACATTTTTCCATATTTGCTCTTTGCCAATTTTTGCGTTAAAATCACCCATCATTATCTTAGTATCATAACTTGGAAGTTTCCTATATTCTTCCTCCACCATTTCATAAAAATCATCCTTAATATCATCTTCCGCATCTTCCGTAGGCGCGTAAACACACATTACAGATATATTCTTAAATTTACCTTTAATCCTAATAATACATAATCTTTCATCTTTGGCTTCAAAATATATCACAGCACTCTCAATCTTCCTGCTTACAGCAAAACCTACTCCTCTTTGGTAACTTCCATCTTCATTGCCACTATAGTAAACAATGTAATCTTTGGTATTTAGCTTTCCTGCCAATGGCCATCTTGTTTCTTGCAGGGCCACTAGATCCATCTCATATTTATTTAATTCTTCTGATAGAATGTCTATGGCTCCAGGCGCTGCTAGTGTTCTGACATTCCACGTACCAAGTCTCAAAGTCCTAAAGGGTAGCCGAAGTTCATTCCGTGTAATCCGTCCTGTGTCCGAGGCATGGTGTTGGTTTTTCGTAACTTGGTGGTTTTCCGAGGTGAGTTGTTGGCCCGACGCTCAACCCCCACATGCCCTTGGAGGACCGGGTTCGGGTTCTCTGATTTCGCCTACCTTATCAGTGCTAAGCCCACCGAAAAGGCGTTTCCCCCCCTGCACTACGGGGAAGTAACAGAGTCACCCTTGCCAATACCGTTGCTTCATCACCACTGGGGCTAGCAGTCTAGGTGCATCCGCGGTGGTATTAGCCTTTAGCAGGGGATAAGCGTAAATATATGTTTTAAGTGTTATAAGACGTTTCTTTTATTTACTTTCCGTAAATTTAATAACACGTACAATGCTGATCAAGAAGTTATTTAATAACTTATAGGCCTACATAACTTAAATAGGCTATTGATTAAACTTACTATATTTATATTTTAAGTTTATTCGATAGTTTAGGCTATATTATGTAATAAGTTATTCCATCGATAATATCTTAGCTATTCTCTTTGGAATTGTAGATTGATGTTTTAAAATTGATTAACTATAAGCTTTTTAATGTTTTTGCAGGTTCATACCCTAATCAACCGACTCTAGGCCTAGTCAGATTTCAAGTTTGCGTACCTTTAACCAACATTCGTAAAATGCATTGGAGTGTGGTCACAGATCTCTCTATTACGTAATAAATAAATCCAGCGGTGAACAGGTAAGACATTTATTTGTTTAAATTGTTAATTTATAGTAGTAACATTTTCTATACAGCCTCTGATCCCATGTAGGGTTGTCATATTAGTGGTGGTTCTAGATTAGAACGTTGTGAAGGGCTAACAGGGGTGATTAACACTAGGAGGGGGTTTCAGGGGTTGACCTTAGGAAAATCTGCTATTTTTAAAACTGTTTTTACGTCTCGGACTGTGTTCCAAAACTTCTGTCACCTATTTATGACAAAATTTATGTTTAAACTTATATTTCCAGAGTCAGTTTCTAATGGGGAGGGCTCTTGCTCCTACAGCCCTCCACCCCTTGGAACCGCCCACTGCATTATAGTATTTTAATGTGGGAAAAAATTGAGAATTAATTTAGTTGGAAGATAAAATATAACGGGACAGCAACATTGGTAGAATAGGCATATAAGCTTTAACCAATTTCATGCAAATATAGGTATTTGATTAAGGTAATGTGATCATAAATAAAAGCATCTGCGGCACTATTTAAAATCAAAATTAGGCTTAAGCCTAATACAGATAAACCATTGCTATTGCTAAAAAAACCTGCATTAGTCTTGATTTTAAAATAGGTATGGGTTATATTTTTTGTAAACCATAAGCTGTCTTTGTTCATAAAAAAAGTGAAGTTGATCTGTTAATTACTGAGAGAACCATGATTTGAGGTAGAAATAAATCTGGTCAAAAGGGACATTTTAATTAAATTATGTTAGTTTAGAAAACTGCTATCTAACTCGTACTAAAATACAAGTGAATAAAATGTTGTGGATGTTCAATGAATTTTAGCATTAGTTTGTCTGCAAATGTTAATTTCTCGAGAACATGCTCCATTCAACCCAAATAGACACTTTAAAGTTTTAACATTGCAGTCTAGCCGAGGAGAATTGTTCATTCATCCTACACGAGCCTCCTTATTTTAATAACATGTAAACATTCTCTGTTCTAGAAGACTGAAGAAGGAACATCACAGGTGCTGTTACTTAGACCTTTCTACAGCATTGATGAATATTTGTCTTGGCAGCAACTAGAGTGACTACGTTACAAGTTAAATCATCTTTCTACCGCAACTACTCCAATCAACAAAGATTTTTAATCGATAACATATTGTATTGATGCCTTTTTCAATCTTAAAAATTGTAAAATAAAGTACTCTTGTATTCTTGTATTGCATTCTTGTGTTCTTGTCCTCAATGTAAATAAGTGAACACAAATGATAGAAAAACTATTTTATATAATAATAAAAACTAAATAATTAATTGAGAGCCCTCTCGATTGGGATAACCCTATTGATATTTTACTTCTTTTATCAAAACAAATACTAAAATACTCTCTTATCGTTTTGTGTTAACTATATATAATTTAAATTATTTACAAAAACATCTTAATTATTTATTTTATTTATCTTTTATATATATTCTATTATAAATTACCACACAGTCAAGTACAAAGTTGAAGCTTGATTATAAAGTACACTAATCATAGTAGGCCTATCAGTCAACAAAACTTAAATTGTTCACACCAAGTGGGAATATAATTATTTGAAATAAGTCTTTCCATCAATAAAATCTTTAAAAAATATTGAATTGCCTTGTAAGCTCGGTAGGTACTGAAAAGTGTAGTATACTCATCACCCATTTCAATGTAAGATTTGTTCTCTTGTTTTAAAATATTTATGTTTGCTGATATAGCGTTATAAGATACAGGGAAGGTAAAGTGTGTTCTCGGTAAAATGTACTTAGATTGGTATTGAATTGTACAAAAAATTAAAATTAAAGTCAAATATCCACAAACAAGCCAAAATAGAACAAACAAGTTTACCTAATAATCTACTTCAAAATTACAAGTTATTTTCATGTTTTTTGATAAATTTTTTTTAACAATAATGAATTATTTACAAAGATGTTTGAAGTTTTTAAAAGGTCAAACATAGGAAACCCCAGCATTTTTACCCCTGCTCATAGTCCGATTATGCTAACGGAACGCTACAACAAACGTTGTTTTACACGTTTGTAACAAATTTCATCATAATTGGATTATTTTGACTTTGAATTATATGTCAGGGGTGCCCACAAGGGGGGGCTGTGACGCAGACTGCGTCATTGAAATTTTTGGGGGGGGGGCTCAAAAAATTCAAATGGGGGGGGTGGCTAAAGCTAATTGCAACAGTGTTCAACGTGACGACAATCAAAAATATATTACACAGTCACCAGATAGAAAGTGGATTAATTAATGACAATAGTTATATTATTGAATTAAATTAGTTAAAATAGGATTTTAGGATAGTTTAGGATTCGTGTAGAAAGTTATTATTTAAGATTAGCAAGACGTGAGATCTAGAGGGAGCTCGGGATGGCTCAACTGCTGTGGTAGATAAAAGATAACGCGTGGTACAGACACGTCCAGCTACACCGCGACTTAGCACAGAAAGCTTTGTTGACATAAAGCTCGTTTAAAATACAATCAAGTAGCATAGGCTACAATACTTTACAATATTGTGTAGATACTCGATTACCTGAGTTAATAGGGTGAGGGGGGGGGGGTAATGAAAAATACGGTTAATCCAATATAGTATAAAAACAGATGACAAACTCATTAAAACGCTGTAAACAGCCATTAACGTCACGATTTGCTTTTTTATAAACGAAATTCAATATTGCACAATCATTATTATTGTGCAATAACATTATTATTGTAAATTTCTAATAATTTATCTTGTTTCAGTTGTACAAACGGCAACGTTTAAAACTGTAGCTAACTCAAACTCAACTAATCACTAGCCAAACATTGCATTGCTATAAATAACGTAAATATTAAAGGATCCTTTAGAAAGTGTTATAAGGTACTGCTCGTGATAGACAGATAGGCTACCGATAGGTGCTGTATCACAGCATAGGAATTGATAGATAAGTAATAAAAAAGTGTAAAATTATATTTAGAGATAATTAAAACACTCTTAAAAAAGAATGTAACGAGAACAATCTCGTTATTCTTTTTCTTTGTTCTTCTGTTCTTTAATTGGTTTCTCTTCAATTCATACACGAATTCAACAAGTCGCCATATTTAGGCCTACTCATCGGCCAATCACAACCTTACTAAAGTTACCATGGTTACTAATCACTCAATCACAGTTTACTAAGCATTATGATTTATTTATGATTATATCGTCATCATTCATTCCCCAGCTGTTGTATCAAGTTGTATCTCAAATCTGTTGTAACATAGCGCACAGCAGACAGAAGTGTAAAACGGAGCAGACGATTGTTGGCGCAAGCGTTGTTTCCATTTCATTTTCATCAAAGGAGCTGTGATGTTTCTAAAGGGAGGGAGAGGGGATCGTTATATCGAGAAAAGACGCTGACAATTCGTTAAGCAGAGGTTACGAACGCTATATGGATATTCTGGCAATAAAAAATTCCTTAAATTGAGGTGACTTATAAAACTCTAATTTTATTTATATAGAAAGATAAGTTTTCCAGTCCTGTACAACACTAAATCACGGTCTTTTCCCTGTAATCAAAATTCAAGTACAACTTGATACACACAAAATCTCCGCGGTTCCCGACCTGGATGGTTTTATTTTATTTTATTTCAACGGACATTCCATTTTGTTTGATGTGGTACTAAAGATACATTGTACAGTTCAAGATAACAAAATAATATTAAATAACAAATAATAATAAATAAATAATAATATTAAATAATAAATGTAATATTAAATAACAACTGTGAACTTTTGACACTTAGACATAGGCAACAAAACAAATAACAATAACAATAATATAGTAATTAACAACAATAATGTAGTAATTAACAACAATAACTTATAGCAAAAACATGATGGCTAGTTATTTAATTTAATTTACAGTTACATATTAGTACCCGTGATAAATGAAACCCGTTGTGTAAGCCAAAGCCACACGGTTATTAATATCACTTGGTTTTGGATTTGCTTACAAACGTGATCGGAAATGGTTACAAACGTGATCGGAAATGGTTAGGGCCTACACAGTATTCGTAAACAACATTTATGTAAACATATCAGTTCAGCTAGGAAAAGGAATCTTTATCAAAACAGCTTTTCGTAATATCATATATGACGTGTTCTCTTAACAGATTATTAGTATTTCATTAATTAATGACGTATGTAGTAAACATGGAGAAAATAAACTAGAAAAATCACACAAAATTGTGTTTTTGATCGTCCGTTATTTTATTTCCAAAATAGAGAGGCCATATTTTAATGGCTATAAGGACTCTCTCGCCAATCCTGTGGATACAATTAAACCATTAGAATCGTAATCGGTACTTTAGTTTTCTTTAGAGTAGGCTGCATAAAATGCCTTCTGAGCCGTGACAGACGGACATAAATTGAGATAAGACATGTTTCAACGTCTTCAATGTATAGAACATAAATAACCCAAAATATGTATAATTCTGAGCAGTGTACAGACAAAACTATAACTTTATTTATATAGATTAACTGGGTTTGAATTTTAAATATCTAAAAAAAATATAAAACTTCTTTTATAGTTTTACAAATAATAGTGCTGGGCGGGGGAATAATGTTTCTCATTTGTTGTGTACATCATTTATGGTGGGGGGGGGGGCTGTTGCTCAATTGGGGGGGGGGGTGCGTCATGAGTCTAGGGGGGGATGGGCACCCCTGTATATGTGTATAGGCATAGACTAAACTAAGCAGCACAAGTCTTAAGGGAGTATGTTTTATCTATGGTATAGGCTATAATTTACAGTAGAACCTTGATAACAAGACTTTTAAGGACTATAAAATAAGACTTGTTATCAAGGTTGACTTCTTATCGAGGTTTGCAATAACATATGATTAGGGGTAAAATAATTCCAAGGGGATTTGAAAATTACCCTTGTTATCAAGGTTGACTTGTTATCGAGGTTCTACTGTATATGAATTGAACAGATGGTGCTAAAGGCTTTTAACTTGAACTACAACTGTTACAGCAATTAAAAATTAAAATTCAAAACCAACAATGGGGTTGTATTATTTTGTTTAGAATTATTATACACCTTATTAAACATTTGGTATTATTATGCACTTCTTTTCATATTTTGAGGACCATAACAGGCCTCGGTGGTGTAGTGGATAGAGTGCCGGGCTGATAAGCAGAAGGTGCCGGGTTCGAATCCTACCCGTATCACTAATTTTTTGTCTTGGATTTTTTCATTATCAACAAGTTTGGTTAGGTTATGACAGTTTAATTTTATAATTAAAATTGAATTTGAGCCATTTATAGTTTTATTTTATGAACAGAAATATATTTTTTTTATTAAACCTTAATTTGATTTTTCATTATCAGCAAGTCTGGTGAGTTTGGTTAGGCTATGATAGTTTAATTTTATAATTAAAAAACTATAAAATTGGATTTGAGGCATTTATTATTTTATTTTATGAACAGAACTAATTTTTCAATTAGTAAACCTTCATTATAGTCAATCAGAAGCCTCCAAATGACACTGTCGGCAAAACAAATCCTGAAAAACAAATTGTACAGTTAGGTTGTAGAGGTGGATTGAGTAGATGATTTGAGTCCGATTGAAATTGAAAACTCAATACTCACAGACTCAGATCCAACAACAAACTCGAATCCGATTTTCCAATATCGATAGTGTACACAATTCAATATCGATAGTGAAATTGCAGACTCTCGATAGATCGATTCAATCGTATTCTGTCCGAGTATCGTAGTGAACCCTAGGCTATCCGTTCAACATAGCTGCCTATGTCTAATTTTAGGCTATCTTTATTCTGTCATAATTCTTTTGTAAATTTTATCGATATACTTATCCAACCGGTTTACATTTGATAACCATTGCAATTCAGGACATGGAATTTCATAAACGTTATTTTATTTCGAGTTCGGTTTGTGTTAGGAGATAATAAACTTAAAAGTTGTATTTCTAGAGGTATCTAACATAAAGATTAGCCTTAAAATGGAGCATAATGTTCAAGATAATGTAAATGAGCTAAAACAAGAAATAGAAAGACTTAGTAGAGAATTAGACCAAGCAAGCAGTGAAAAAATACAGTCCGCCCAATATGGTTTAGTGCTTTTGGATGAAAAGGAAACTCTGTTATCGAAATGTGAGGAGTTGGAATCCCTCTATGAAAATGCAAGACATGAACTTGAAATCACACAAGAGGTAAGGTTTAAAAATAGCCTATGTTAAGGTATGGTAGCCTAACTTGTTCTAACAGGAATAAGCACAAGAAATCCTTTTAAGTTTTGGAATTGAGGCTAGGCCAACCTATAGCCTAGATAAGGTCTAAGAAGAAAGCCTAGTTGTGCACCCATTGGGTATTTTATTTATTTTGTCAATTATTTACGCAACTTATGTGCTTTTTTTACCCAAATATGAGTGAAGGATGAGTGACGCAATCTTGTAGTCTTGTTAGTGACTAACTTAATGCTGACATATTCCTTAGACACAGCTGTTAGTTAATAGCCCAAACAGCTAATGGCAATTGAAGTGACCTACAGTTTAGTGGAATCCGAACCACATTCTTGTCTTGGTATTAACGAATTGGTCTAGTTATCAGGATAGTACTGCAGATAGTTGTAGTAGGTATAGTAAGCTTAGGAATTCAGAGGACTGTGTGGCTACAAATGTTACCAAAGGTGAAGATCTGAATTAAATAACTGGCTAACCATCATCCTATAGTGAACGTTGTCAAATCCGGATGACTAATGAAAATATGCAGGTCCCCAATGTTACTTAGGCCCATTATTGAAGTTTAGTAAGAATCCTGAATTTTTAAGAATTTAAAATGTCAGCCCGTTGAGGGGTTATAGATCTAAAATATATTTTCTGATCAATAAGAGTTGATTTTGAATGTTCATCTATGAAGATAAAAATATATTTACTTAGTATTGTCCAAGTTAAGTTAGGTACCTACCTTAAGTTACTATAATCAATGGTATAGCCTACCTATAGTCAATGGTAGGCCTATTAGGTTCATAATTCGATCACTGAATGTTTAACTTAACGTACAGCTAGTTTTCACCTCAAAAAGTGGCAAGTACTGTAGGCCTTAGGAGTCATTTTTAGGGGTAGGGCCTAATCAAAATTCATATAAAAAGTTTTAGCCTAATTTATTAATTTATGATTTTTATGAATTTTGATGACTGCTAAAAATTAGCGAGTTCTAGGCTGCCTGAACTTACTTAGTCAACGCTGTAAGTTTTTGTGAAAGAGTTACCTAGGTAGGCCTAAGTATTTGTTTTGGACTGGGAATTCAGTAATAAGTAAACTTAATCACCAATAAGTGTTAGCCCATAATCGAGCCATTCATTCAACTGTGTTCCATTGGTTCTCTGTTATGGTTAGCCTATAAGGAAATATGATCACAAAGTCGATAATGGTATTGCCGTGACTGCAGAAGATGCTCAAGGTTATTGCCGCGATCGTTGGTGACAAACATGGTATAAACGAGACCCCGAGATATTTTATGAGTGTTGATGCGATTGCTGAAGACAATGTTATCTCCGATACCGGTACCGTAAAATGAGGCCGCAAGGGATGCTCACTGGTGTTGCCTCGATCGCTAGATAAGATGGTAAGACTGCAAGATATCCTCTTTAGTGTCACTACAATTGCAGGAGATGATGTGTGATGTAACTTATAAGTTAGGCCTACTACCAGATAAAATATATTTTGTTCAGTAGCCTATCCTAGCTTTCTGCATATCTGATAAAATCGGTTCGCATACCTGATGTTGCCTGTTAGCCATAGGTTAAAGACCCTTGCTCGATGATGTTAAGTAGGTACTTACTTAGGTATATTGTCATACTACTTGAAAATAATGCCAAACTGTCTCAATGTAGCTTAAGTTACACCTACTTGATTGTGTGTCCATGTGAAGAGTTGTGTAAAAGAAGGCCATATAGGCTAATCGAGACTTCTGTACGTTTATTATTAGGGTGACTAAACAAAAGGCTTAAAGTGGATTGAATGGGTAGGCTACTGTAATGAGGGACCTAAAATCTGGAATTGTTCTAAGTTACTGTTTACCTTAACTTAAGCCTAACTAGGCTACTATATTCACCCAACATAAACATGTTTTAAGTTATAGTAGGCTATGATTTTTGTGTTCATCAGGAACAAAACATAAAATAATTTTAGCATAACTTAATGTAGCAATCAATAATTTCTCAGGCTCCAAAAGTTTTCTCGTAAGTGCCTTTAACAAGATAACCTGGGCCTAATGCTTTCTATAGCATGTGATACCGGTACACAACTTTAGAACTTCCCATTTGCCTATGTTTATAAGCTTGTTTTTTTTTTTAGAAATAGCCTACAATTAATCAAAATGTGTGTCAGTTAAAAATTACTTTTGCCGTCTAACTTAAACCTTAATCATTCAGAATATTTTAACTTTTCTGCACAGTCCATTCCCTTAACAAAAGACCGTAAAATAATGTAGGTTTTGGACCAGGACAATTGTTTAAACCAACAAAGGGGGGGAGGCTTGATTCAATGTGGCAGTCATTACTTCCAATCTAGGCTTGTTGTGTCATTTGACAGTCTCCATTTACTGGCTAGACTTGGGCATACAACTTGACGTCATACAATTAATTGAGGTTAGTAATGAAATGTGAAAAGTCTGTATTCAGCAATATGTAAGAATATCATAATAATTTAGATAAAACTAAATTAAGATGACTGATTTCAAGTCACCTAAGAGGCCTTAAGATCTTATGCTAGTATGTTTTAAAGCAAGTAACTTTTATTGAATATTCCTCAAGATTTTCTTTTTAAGTTTTTTTTTTTTTTTTTTTTTGGATGGTGGGATATTTTTAAAGTGATCTTATATCCACCATTGTCTTTTTTTAGATGTAGCTAGAGATGTAAAATATCCGTGCATTTACCAGTATATAACTGTGGGCAGAGTTTTTACACCCGGGTAGCCTAAATAGCATTTAAATTAGCTTATGTACATTTTATTTTATTTGTTCAAATTATTAGTAACTAAGCATGCACACATTTAAGTCATATAGGTACCAGTAGCCTAATGTTAATTGTTTGTACATTTATTATTAAATTTTGATATTTTAAATTACCAAAATTCCTAAAATCTATAGGCCTACAGCAAACTAACATAACTGTATACTATGATGCTTTATAAAATAGGGTTTTTTGTTTGGAATAACATTATTTTTAACTAAACATGTTTTATTGTTCTATTGGTACTCGCTTTGCATCACCCTCGGGACTTTGAATCAAGGCATTAGGCAAGACAGAGGATACAAATATAAAACACAAACACAGCACCAGTTGCCCCGGCCGCCTCGATCCATATTTGAAACTAAAAAAGCCCATATGTGATGTGGAAAGCGAATAGAGACCTCTTGTCAGGAATTTTCGATTTTGAGTTATATAAATATTTGAATTCCTTATTAAATTCCCAATCACTTGGTGCAAGTCCCATGCATCTACGATTTGTTTGTTTAAGTTATTTACAGGACATTGAAATTTTGTTATAGAAGAGGGTTTGAGAAAAACTATTTTAAAAATTTCAAATGTGTAGGTAAAAAACAGTTTTTTTTTTTTTGTATTTAAGAAACGATTTTGGTAACTTAATCAAACAAAAGCTTATATTGTTCTCTTTGGAGGTAATACCAATTTTCGCCTTAACTCACGGTACCTTAGTTTTTATCTAAATAATTGTTTTATCGAAGCATGTCGTAAAAATCGCATTTCAGAAAAGGCACCTCTTGTCGGCCCTATGTTACTTCTCCATAAGATAAGAAAAGGTATCTCTTCTCAGGACCGCAACATTTGTGAGATATTTTGTTCTCCGTAAACTGAACTTTGTTGTAGTAGGTCTACTCTAAATTTCCACTAGAATGCATTAGAATTCATTTTTTGGAAGACTAAAGTCTGTTTATAAAGTCAAATATTAGAAATGGTACTTCTTGTCGTTATGGCGAAATAACATTGAGCGACAAGAGGTACCTTTTCTCAGACCGTGCAGAGGCTAACAATGTCCTGTTCTATGTCAGATGAGGTTTAACAATCGTTAAAAAACCAATTCCGATATTTTCGACCTTAATTACTTATATTGGCCGTACTGAAAGTTTTGCAGATCGCCGACAAGAGGTCCCTTTTCACTTTCCATATGTGCCAATTAGAATATTGAGTACAAAAACGTTTGGCAAATATGTTGTCAGTAAAGTTACCGTTTATACAATAGTCTAAGTATTGGTGTTTATTTATTCTATGGTAGGCTATAGCAAAAAAATATTTCTGGATTGGACGTACAGTAGTGTTGCCCGGAAGTAGGCTAAATATTCCTGTATTAATTTGACTACAATATTTATTATCCACCTTAATAATATTTAATCCAAGTGAATTCACATAGACTAAGTATATCACGTGTCATTAGTTAATTAATATAAAATGTAAATAGTTTGTATTTAGGAGAGGATAGTAGCCTTTGTACTCCCTTTGTAAACATAAACATTTTTGAAGCTCTAAAATGTTTATAGTTTTTGCACTAGCCTAATAATTATTTTTTTTCATATTGGTCATCTAAAAAATTTATTAAACCAAATGATTTTACATAAATACTTACCTACTTTGACATCTTAAGTCACCCACACGTATGGGTATTTTTCATGAGTTCCTCGATTTTTTTAATTCATCATATTATATACAAATTATACCCTCCAACCAAGAAATGTCCATAATTTTTTACACATTTTTATATGACAAATCCAATGAAGTTAAATAGTTTAACTTCCAAATTACACAGTAGACACTCACTCACGCCTAATCCTCGTTAATGTTTTGGGCTCTGGCAATACTGGATTACTGAGCACTGTAAAAAATAGCCTTTTTTCAAGGAGAGTAGAAATACTCTTGGTCTAAAAGGACTTGTAATAGGAAATGTTTACCAGTAAAAAATGTTTTTGCCGACCATTACCTTTGAGTTTTTTCCCTTTGTTCATAATATTCAGGCGGTTTAAGGGGAAGGTTTCCTAGGTTCTTCTACCACTTTTTTAACATAACCTAAATATCAGCTGATCAACTGTCAGCTGTTGTTTAAAATTTGAAATGCTGTGGAGGGGATGGAATCGCTTCCTCTCAAACCGCCTAAATTTTGTGAACTCAGTAGCCTATAGTAAGTTACCAGTAACCTTAAGTTTTCAGTGTAAGCATAGTTAGACAAGTATGATGTTTCTTGGTAATTACTTGCATGCCAGGTTGCTCTGCCTGAGTGGTCAGTGTTGATTTTGCATTATAATGCTAACAACTGTAGACACTAGTTATGTAGTGTTGGGTTACACGAGCCCTTATGCCTATTAACTACAAAATGGGATGTGTTAATACACCCCCGTCGCAAGCAAACCTGCAGTCTAAGCAAATTTAGATTTACCTGGCTGGATTTCCCCTAAAATATTCCCTTACAATCGCCAGTTTTATTCCCTATTTAAATAACATTAACTTTAATGAGTACTTAGGTGCTACAGGAAAGGTAATAAGGTGTGTTTTTTGTAGGTTATAAAATGATAAAAATTGCGAAATTTGATTAAAATAAATCACATAACAAGCATAAATACCACAATAACAGTTAACTTATTCTCCATTTAGGAATTACAAAGGAATTTCAAATCTAACAATAATAGTAGGCCTACTAATAAAAAATTTGGTTACAGTATTTAGTAGCCTAACACTTTTTAACTATAACAACATAGGTTTACCAATATTAACGTTCATCCATGTTGTTTCAGGCTCTGGCAAAGTTCCAAACAACGGCCAAGGTGACTACGAAAACTGGAATTGAAACGGAAGAATCCCTTCTGCAGGAGTCATGCGCGAGGGAGACGTCTCTTAATTCGACAATTCTTGATCTTGAAAATGACCAGAAACTTGTAAGTAGGCCTATAGAGCCAATGCGTAGTCAAGTATAGCTAGCTTTGTGATACTTAAATACTATAAGCTGTATCTTATTTTCCAAAGGGTTTTTATCACCGTTGCACCCATCTTTTAATCTGAAGTTTGTAAAGTGCAGCGCAGTTTTTGTTTGTGGAAACGGTGTCAAGTGCAGTCCAAGACGGATTAACGAAAAGAGTTTTCAGATTAGAACCCAGTGAACTTTGGATTTTAAATAAAGTGCTCTTACTTATCGCATTCCAAACGTATTGTTTAGACTCTCAGTGTGCAATTGTTTTAGGAAACATGAATTCATAACCAGCTTGTTTTGTTAACTTACTACAAGAGATTTTAATGTGTTCTATATGTATTACAATTTTGTGCATGAATTTAAACGAATAAGATATTTCCTAGGCCCTACTTGTAAGAATCTCATGGAAAAAATAACTATGAACAAAAAATTTATTTTGCCAGTTTCACCCAGGTGCATCGGTTGATTCCTTCCCTTTGATTCTAAATTCAATCTGCAGTTACTGAGCTTCCATCATGAGCTTAAACAAAATCGTGTTAGTGGCTTCTGTAAGTCATGATGTCGTACTTAGATTGATCTAGTTTCCAACATTTCAAACATCTGTACTAATATTTAAAGCCAGTTTTAATATTGTGTTTTGTAGCACAGACAAAAGTCAATATTTAAACACACTCTCTTCAAGAGACTTATCATTATTTTTTGCTGTTTGACCATTTAAACTTTAAAGGCAAATTAATAGCCTATTATTTATTTAACGCAATAAATAAATGCTTGAGTGTCTTGGATTTTTTTTGTTCGTTTTTTTTAGGCTATTTTCCAACTTGAAAACTATTTTAACCAAATAGAATCAATTATTTGTAAACTGCTTTGCACAATGTAAATGACGTAGAAAATAACCATACATACAACACCCACTAAATCAGCTTTAGTTATTAGGGATGAGAAATCTACTAATGTGAGTTATTTTTAGTCAATGTTATTTGAAGCTGGAGAATAAGTAGTTGAATATTTGAAACCAGGTTTCTTTAGGTTTTCACATAACAATAAGTTAAAAGATCTGCTAACTTAGATATTATCAGATTAACTGTGAAGTACACACGATAATCAAACTATCCAGTTTTCGGAAACACTGCCAAGTTTAAGTGAAGGCTGACGTCATAGCTCGAAAACGTACCAGGTGCGAACTTGACACCCGAGTGGAAAACACTTCCTAAGACACCTATATTGAAATGCAAAAGCAAAATTCTCTATACACGACATGCACACAGAACCCTAGTCAGGTCCTGGACTAGTTTAATCAGCATCACTTGATTTTTTTATGTGAACTCATGAAATAAGTTATACGCTAGAGGAGCGAAGCCCTAAATGAAATCATCTTTTTGGTTACAATTTTTCATTCCCCTAGATCATAAGCTTTAAAATGGTACCTAAATCGTGGAAATTGGCTGAGTAAGACCGGCAAAAAAGGGATGTACAGAGTGAACCCTTACTGTATTAAGTGCAAATTAGGCCTAAAATGTATAACAAACACCCCCGTGACTTCAAGCCGCTGGGTGTTCCAGCTTTCATATCTACGCTGAAGGAAAATTGTTCTTAGTTAATATAATACTGATCTTTCATTACTCTAAATAATTCAAATCTCCTTTTGAATCTTAACCAAACAAATTAATAGTCTACCAAGAACGCTTATGGGAATACATATTTTTATTTTATTTCTAATTTTATTTAAATTTTGTATTTCAGATGCGTCAAGAACTGGAGAGGCTGTTGGAAGAGAGGAATCGGGTGATACACGAGAACAATGAGCTGCTGAAGGAGAAGGCAGAGGCGGATACGGAGCGCAAGAGTTTGCGCGCGGAACTGAAGGAGATCAAGTTCCGAGAGAGTCGTATGCTGGTAGACTACTCGGAACTGGAAGAAGAGAACATTACCCTACAGAAGCAAGTGTCAGGACTTAAGTCATCTCAGGTAACATCAGAGCATCTTAAATTGTTTAACCCTCCTTCAGATGCATATTGGAGAGATTGTGTAGATTTATGGATTTATACAAATAATTGGGTGCACAAAACTTCATTGGGCGTATGAGGATGAAAGGTTACTTTGTACGTTTGGCAAAATAGATCAAAACATTATTCCAATGTAAAACACACCAATCAACAATTGAATTAGCTAAAAGTAACAAAATTAATTAGCTAAAGGTAACAAAATAACTTATTGTTATTTTATAACTAAGAACAAAATAAAACTTGGATAGGAAGTGAATACAATATGAAATTTTTTTTACAAAGAACCCAATCATCGAATTGAAAATCTAGGAGTAAAATATTTTAAATTGATCAGGATCTACATAGGCTAACTCATTATGCAAACCTCATAATTTAAGGTAGGCCTATTAAGATCGTTTGTTTACTTCTAGGTTGAATTTGAAGGAGCGAAACATGAAATTCGACGACTCCAAGAAGATGTGGAGGTTTTACAACAGCAAATGGAGGAGCTTACGAAACTGAAAGAGATTGCTGAAAAACAAATGGACGAAGCCCTCCATTCTCTTCAGGTGATGCTGGTCTCAGTAACTGAACGTTATTTTAACATTCTTACAACAAGGTAAAAGGTAAAGGTTTCTTGGATTACGGTAGTACCACTTTCTAAAATTGGTAGTAGACAGGGCAGGGTGTCGGTGCTTGATTTCCGAGGTTCTAATTGTGTCAATAACCAATGGCTTTAGCTGCGTGACAATGTATTGACATTCGAGGACTATCGTAAAGTAATTTGTAAAACAATTTCTGGGCTATAGAGTAGCATGTTAGGATGTTAAGTTAGGAATTAAAATAAACTGGACTTTGGACTTTAACAAATATCCCAAAGTCTAAGATCTGTTTTTAGTCTGTCTTTGGCATATTTTAGTAGTTATACAAGTCAATCTTTTGTACCTCATCTTTTCAGCATAAGTTGTATGCAGTAGGTATGTGGACAATGGGAGGTGAAAGATTATGAATGTGAAATCGAGTTTCTAATCCAAAATCCCACCTACCAGCTAGCTTTGTAATAATGACCTTGTGATTAAAAGCTCAACTTAAGGTTGTTCTGATTGCATGTTTGGATATTTTTTTTCCTTATTTGAAACTTTTTTGGTCGGGAATTATTTTGGTACAGTAGCAGAGTTTAACTGCAGCGGTTAATTATCCTGGTATATAAATGAGAGACAGTTTAACACGTTCGCTGCTGACCGCTAGATGCCGGGACGGCGCCAGGAGCTGAACTAACGCTCGCCGGCTGCGTAAACATTGCTGCCGATACACTGACTTACAGTAAAAACAACAGTAGTTGTACTGGATGGCAATGTGTTGCAATAAAACTGGCTTTGGACATAGTACTAAGTGATTCTGATAGATAGCAGCACTACCCAGGTTGCAGTCTGTAAACTAGTGTTGCTATCTAGCAGGAAAGAGGTGGGACAAAGCCCTGTTCTAAACAACCCTGGTGGTGATTTTGGGAAACTATATTTTTATTGTCAGAAAAGTACATCCCCACGAGCTGCAAAGAAATATAGGACGCTCGTGACGAGCTGGCTGATCCATGGAAACGTTAAACATCGATGAATGGCGACGTTCCGGAACATTCCTAGCTCGTGGCCCATTTGACGTTCCAGAACGTCTGTAGCAGCGAACGTGTAAAATTAGGCAGGCAAGGTGAATATGTGAGATTGGCGTTACAACAGGAAATCCACTTTATAACCTAAAAACTATTTCCCTGGGTTTTCTAAAATGTTTAAACAAGTAGGCTAACATTTAGCCTAAACAAATTAAATTTAATTTAGCCTAACAAACAGTAGGCTACCTAACTAAATTTAAAAAACCACATAGTTTATTCTCCCTTCCTTACTATTTCCTAGTAAGTAGGCGTTGATTTATTCAAATTGTGGATCCTAGCATAAATTTATTTAATTTTGAACCTGATTGGTGAAATTTCAACAAAGCAGTTAAATATTAGATGATTATGCAAGTTCTCTGCTATGGGAATGTTTTGAAATATCGAGAAATAGGACGAAATTGTGATTTTTATTGGGTAGTCTGGTTGATAACCTGTAGTTGTGAATTATCAGCTGACTAATAGTTTTGTTTCAGTTTGAAGTTTAAGTTGAATTTTTATTGTAGAGAGGTCAATTTGTGGTTTTAACAGGTGAGAAAAGATTTGTTGTTGTTTGATTTTCAAAGTAGAAAGTATAAATAGGTTGCAAAATTACTAAAGTGTTTTATTTTATTTACTATAACAAAATAACTTAATGTTTATTTTGTAGGCTGAAAGAGAAGCAAAGTACGCGATGAAGAAAGAGCTTGACCACAGAATAAACAGCGAGAGCATGTATAACCTTAGCAACCTGGCATACAGTATTAGAGGTAATAAATGTACAAAATTTAATTAAGTAAAGATCTAGCTTTAAAAATTTCATTAATTTCAAATTGTTTTCGATTCAAATTTTAGTAAAGTAGCGGTTTAGTAAAGTGTTAAAATGGTAATAGCCTAGTATGAAATAAATAAATTTGCCAAGTTCAATTTTGTATCCATAAATAAGCAAACTAAAAATGGTTACTTATTGTTTATAAAATAACAAGGGAGTTTTGAATTTACAGTTTTTTGAATGTTAACAATCAATAACCATAAAAAATTACACTTCAAAACACTAATTTATTGGTTTCTTTAGCTCTACCTATAAAATAGTTTAGAGAGAAATTAGGATATTCAAATATGTAAAACTACTTTTTTAAAGTTTTTAAGTTTGCTTACTAGTAGGCCTATGATCTGACTGTGGGAACAGGGTTTTATGGGGTTAAAATTGGTTTATCTCACTTTTGAACCTTCAACAAAAACATTCTGCAATTTCTTTCTAACCTATTTTCTAGAGCTTAGAAAACTAATTATTTGGCATCCTAAACCATTAGGCTATAATTCCTATAACGGTTTAAAATGAAAATTTGTAAAAAACTTAAATTTTAAATTCCTATTTCATTCTTAGAGATATGTCAATACAAAATTTACAGATTCTTAATACTAATATTGATAGTCTATCAAAAAATGTATTTTTGATACTGATACCTTACTTTTTCTACTGAATTCTTTATATGGTTTATTTATACTGCACCAACCCCTGTCTTTATGTCCCTACAACAGTAATTTTGTTGTAAGAATGAGTTTTTGTAGTACAGACAAATTTAATGCAGTTAAGAAAAATTTTAACCAGCCAATTCAAAAACATTATCACCGTATTAATTATTTTAATTAACTTCTATTCATTTTACAAAACTTAGTGAACAGATTTTGGTAGGTTAATTTCTTTTCTGCACACCTATTTGTAACGATTCAGTAACGAATGCTGATGGTACAGAAATAACGGACGACGGCGCTATCGGCAGTGATGAGGACGATCTTCCTGTACTCAGGAGAATCGAGGCGGATCTCAAGAGTGGATCGGACTTGGCGTCTCCTGACGGTAAACAAGTCGACCTCTTCAGCGAGATCCATCTCAACGAGCTCAAGAAACTGGAAAAGCAGGTCGAACAGGTGTGCAAACTAACCTACCTATCTAGAATCTCATAAGACAACAACATAAGATAAAATCTTATTTAGAGGGCCGCCAACAGTTTGTTAACATTGGGTATTTAGATGGAAATAAGATGTACAATGTTAGATCTAATGTTAGGGAAGTTAAGTATTCTGTTCCTCGGGGATCTGTGTTGGGTCCATTCCTGTTCCTGTGCTACTTGGGAGGAATGCCAAAACATTTATCTGAACGGGTAGAAAACAATGCCCTCTGCTTGTATGCAGATGACATAAGTATGTCTATGCATGAAAAGAATAGTGAACTTCTTGAAATAAAAATGAAAGATTCGCTCAAAATAATTGGAGATTATTTAAATGAAAAAAACCTTTTACTTAATAAAAACAAAACAACCTTCATCAAATTTGAGTGTAAAAAGTCTGGCGAAAAGATATTTGAAAATTTTGCATGTGAAACCAAATTTTTAGGTCTAACCTTGGACAGTACACTAAAGTGGACCTCACATGTCGATAAAATATGTAATAAAATTAGCTCCGGTATTTTTACTTTAAGACGACTATTTCCACTTTGCAGTAAAGAAATTTTGCGTGTGGTTTATTATTCAAATATACACTCCCATATTGCTTATGGCATTGAAATTTATGGTGGAACAAATAAATCTAACTTAAATGAAATTTTACATTTACAAAAAGAGGTCATAAGGTGCATCCTTAATTTAAATGAAAATGAATCATGTAAAAATCGTTTCAAAGAATTAGAATTCTTTACAGTTTACAGCCTCTACATATATAAGACTATATTATATGTTAAAAGCCGGGAGTCACAACTGCAAAGACAGCAGGATGTACATACTTACAATACTAGGCACAAACAAAATTTTATAATTAAAAAGCATAAAAAAGAAAAATTTAAAGAAAGTCCTGATTATATTGGGGTTAATTTTTTTCATTCTATCCCTTGTAGCATCAGAAATGAGGAAAACAGAAATAAGTTCAAAAAAAAGCTTAAGAATTTTCTAATTAATGGAGAGTTTTATAATTTTGAAGAATTTACTGCACTATGTTCAAATATGTAAATAAACATGTAAAAAAAAAATAAAATGGATCAGGAAAATGGTTTTAGTATTAGTTATAGTTTAAAATTAAGACGCATTCATGTACACATTGTTGTATGTCTGAATAAAGATTTATTTGACTTGACTTGACTTGACTTGACCAGGTCAAAATCAACTAGGCATTTTGTAAAACTCAGATTTTGGTTATTAAAAAAAATATCTAGACAAATTTTGTCTGAACGGATACTCACTCTTAAATGTGTTTCACACTTATTTAACCAAATTCACATTCATAAAATAGTCACCTTTGTCAAATTTTGGTCAGTATTCTTGTACATTAGTTGACATTTTTAGAAAAAATAATGTATTTGTATTTGATGTAGCTGTTTATTCTTTGTCATACAGGTAAAGATTCATTTAACATGGCTACTGGTTTGTAGGCTGATTTTCTGGTTCATGACTGGTTTCCTTCATTGAATCATTCAACCTAACTGAAATTGTGTTTACCTCACTTACTATCATTTGCACGTTTGATGCTTAAAAACTAAAAACCATAACAATTCTCCTGAACACTTAGTATTGTTTGTGTTTGTTTTGTGACCCTATCTTTTTACGGATAATTTTATTCTGTGTGTCAAACCACAATAACTGGGAACCTATCCCTCGATTTTTGGATAGCTTCAATTTTGATCTATCCTAGCGTTAAAAAAACTATCCTAAGCTGCAAAAAATAGAATGGATGATTTACAACTCTATTTTTTTTTTATAAATTTAGCCTGAATAAGGTAGGTAAATCATTCTTTTATGTTATAGATCTAGAATGGTCACACTTAAAAAAGATACATTTTTTTATTGTCAAAAGGTGATGTCATATGGTGATAACTAATTTTTCCGCTATGAAGAAATCTTTTAAAAATAAGGATGTAGGCCTATATTACACATTATGCTTCAGAGACGAGTTTTTTACCATATGAAACTGTATTTTTGCACATTTATTTTTTCCAGGAGATTATTTGTATGGATGTAATTTGTAGGGATGGACGGGTCCTGAAATTTCGGGAATTTTTCGGGAAAAAAATATTCCCGATAATCGGGACGGGATTACATTTGACTCGGGAATTTTTCGGGACGGGATTTGGTCCGATCGTCGGCGATTTTTCCGCTTCGCGAGTGCCGTTATTGCGAGCGATAGGTCCGCGAACGCAGGAGACGAAGTCATACGGACGATCGCGCCGTGACCGCGGAGTCATGCTGACGATCGAGCCGTGATCGCGAGTCATACCGACGATCGCGCCGTGACCGCGAGTCATACCGACGATAACCCGTGACCGCGGAGTCATACCGACGATCGCGCCGTGACCGCGAGTCATGACGACGATCGCGCCGTGACCACGAGTCATACTGACGATAACCCCGTGACCGCGGAGTCATGCTGACGATCGAGCCGTGATCGCGAGTCATACCGACGATCGCGCCGTGACCGCGAGTCATACCGACGTTAACCCCTTGACCGCGGAGTCATACCAACGATCGCGCCGTGACCGCGAGTCATACCGACGATCGCGCCGTGACCGCGAGTTATGACGACGACTCGCGCCGTGACCGCGGAGTCATGCTGACCATCATGCCGTGACCGCGGAGTCATACCGACGATAACCCCGTGACCGCGGAGTCATACCGACGACAACCCCGTGACCGAGGAGTCATACCGACGATAACCCTGTGACCGCAGAGGCATACCGACGATCGCGCCGTGACCGCGAGTCATGACGACGATCGCGCCGTGACCGTGAGTCATGACGACGATCGCGCCGTGACCTTGAGTCATACATATGATCACCCCGTGACCCTCGAGTCACAAGTTACTATAGGTACCTGTAAATTGTTACCAATTTTTTGGCTTTTATAGATCAGTGCCACAAATGGTAAAAATTGATTTCGTATGTCTTTTTTGGTAACTGCAATACAGTACTTTCTTTTTATGCACAGAAAAAAATCCCGTCCCGTCCCGTCCCGAAAATTGGGAAGGAAATAAAAATCCCGTCCCGTCCCGAACTAAAAATTCAATCCCGTCCATCCCTAGTAATTTGTTTTACAAGAATGGATTTCTATAACATAAAGCGATATATTTTGCCACCAACATATTCGCTTTAATGATTTCTAAAACAGAAACAGATAGCCTATTATCTGTCACAAGCTGACAGATTTATTTCCACTTTCCATGCATTGACACAATTTGTTGATCAGATGGAAGGTGAGAAGTGTCAGTTGACGACGAGTCTACGCGAGTCACAACAGGAGGCTGAGCAGAGCAAAGCTGAGTTGCAGGCAATACTGACTCGTCTGGTGCAGCTACGAGCACACATAGACTCTCTGCAACACGTCAAGAAACAAGCAGACGCTCTGCCCACTGAAAAAATGGTTAGTTTATTACCTTAGTAAGGTCTGACACCAGATTTCTAATTTCAAAACCAAAACCATAGACAAACACACACAAGTAGACTTCTCGTCTAGTTCATGTTGGTGACACTGGGCACTAGTGTCAACAAATTTTGTTTCTATTTTGATTAATTTTATGATTTGTTATATGACTAGGGGACAAGTTATTGTTTATGGTTAAACCGTGCTATTTGGTTAAATAAGGATTAAAATAACTGAAATAACAAGAAACAAATTTGTAATATATTTATATAAGTAATATAACAGTTTTTACTATTTAATAATTTACAAGGCTATGTTGGCAATATCTAAATGTGTACGTTGAACTGTAACCGTTTGTATTTCCCACTACCAGTTAATAATATTTGAATAAACCAATGCTATTGGACTGTCGGGTCACGCCATTTCCCCAACCCATGAGTCCATGTTAACCGACACCTCTACACCTCAGTTATAGCCAGCTTCCATCCTGAGTAACTCCGGCCCGTTCGGTCGTTAGCAGTTTTACAGTGTTAAACCGTAGTGCTTATTAACTTCCCGATTCCCGTAGTGTAAGACGTCAGGGTGACGTAGTGACTTAGTTACAGTGTATAAGGATAGCACCGTGTCAACGAAGGTACGTTGCATTCATATAGTTTTTTTTTTGTATTGTCACTGTCTAAGATACGTGAAGTTGAATTTGTTTAGAAACACAATCCTACAAACACATTAAACATAATTGATATAAATATATCCATGGTATAACTATAACTGTTCTGTCATCATAAATTATTGTTCTACTAATCTGTCACAGTGATAATTCCATTTTAAAATTCCTTGTGTTGTGAGGCCCAAAAAATCTACTGATTTTAGGGAAGGAAGTTCAATGATGGTGTAGGGAACTGGAAACAAATTAAGACTTGTTTGAAGGAGGGTAAAGTTTTAGTATTTTAGTTTTGGCTTGATTTTAATTCAAACCTTTCCTGCACTTTTACAAGAAACTGATGTTTCAAAAGGTGCAAAACGAGGTTGCCTTGTTCTTAGATAAGTGTGTAAGTTACTAATTTGTCTTGTGATTTCCTCAGTCAGAACTGGCTCTTCTGCAGTATAGGCAATGGATGACATTGGCCACCCGAGAGATTGAACAGTTCCAAAAAGAGCTGGAACAGCTGGAGAAGAACCTCAACTGTTCTGATGCAACTCTGCAACTGAGGACTGAACTGACGGATCTCAAGAACAAGGTAAACACGAAACTAGATCCTAGATATAACTCAAAGCCACTGTTTAACGGTATTTCTTTTCACTCTGGCAGAACACCAATTAGTCTGTATTAACCCTTCGACACAGGACATTTTATGTGCATGGAAAACCATCCTGCATTACTTATTTTGGAAATTACTCAATTTTAAGGGCGTTTGGTCAAAATAGTATTTTCTTTGGATTAAGTATTACAATAGAAATTAAAAAGCACGGTTGTTAAAATCCTGACAAATAATGTGGGACTTACATGAAAAAGTGGTAAATTTTTCAAATGTGGGTACAAACCTAGGAGCTGAACTACATTGTAAAATTGTTCAATTATATCATGTAAATTATGCTTAAGAAGATTATTTTGATTTAATTCTGTAATTACAATGAATGTAGGGTAATAAACTTATCAATTTGAAATAAAATGTAAAATACAATATTAGTTTTAAAAATATGTCGTTTTCTGATCTTTATAATAATTTAACTGCTGCAGTTTTCTTTAAAGCTAATATCTTGTTTCCTTTGACCGTTAAGTTTGCACCTTAATTTTGTAAATTACCTTCTGTGGCGAGTTAGGTCGGCCCGCACAACACTCCATTAATCGCAAAATGCCACTAGTGACTGTGTGTATACTTGGATTTGGTGAACTATTTCACTCATCGCCAGAGTTCCTTCTCACTCAAACTGCCTTACAAATGTTAAACGGTGCCACTCTCAGATCAATAAAAGCATCGTTGGCTCAAATGCTTGTTGTCTGTCACAGCTGCTGGACAGTCAGCAACGTAGCCTCGAGCTAGAGTCGGACGTGAGACTGCTGGGACAGCTGGCGGGCGAGGCTAGTGACAATCTGGCCACTGCACAGAACGACCTGCTCACAGTCAGCGAGGAACTGGCCAAGCTGTACCACCACGTGTGTACTGTCAACGGTGAGACACCTACGAGAGTGTTACTGGACCATCAGAAACACACCGATCCCAGTGAGTGTGCCAACCCATTACCGCTACTTTACAAATTTAGGAATTTTAACTATAGGTACAGTATACTAGTGATGGTCAAATCCACAATTTTTGAATCTCTAAATCTAAACTGAAACTTTTAACAATTGAATCCCGAATCTCAAATCTCAAAACCTAAACACTAAACCAAAACATTTTACTTTACTGTCTACAAATGTCTAGGTTACAAAAAATACAGATTATAATTAAATGTTAGTATGCAATCAAAACTGAAAGACATTGACTCCTGACCCTGATAAGGGTCACCACTATTATGATAGTGGTGACCCTGGACATAAAAAAGTGACTGAAAACCCAAAACAACAAATTTTTTTAAACAACGCTTAAGAAAAATGCTGAATTAATGGGTTCATTTAAACAAAAAACAAAATAAAAATTATTCTAAGAAATCCTTAAAGTAAATTAGAAAATATGACAAAATCTGGTATTTATCAAATTCAGTCCGACAGTTGTGAGATGAAGTATCCTATGTTGGACAAACAAATGAAATGTAATAACTAGATTCAAAGAACACACTTCTCACATAACACAACAGGCCTGAAAAATCAGCAATAGAAAAACATTGTTTGGAAACAGACCACACAATTTCAGTCAAAAATATAACTAAATCCAATGAACTAAACACCTTAACGATAAAAATCATTATTTATAAATACAAAAGACAGTTTAGTAAATAATGATAATGGTCCAATTCAAAATGTAACATTGCGTGCTCATGTGGACAAACAAGGCTCATGTAGAGACTCTGTTGCACCAGCACAGAGTTGACAAGTGTGTGTTTACAGAGTCCAAGCTGAGGGTGGCTGGAGAGGAGGGTGTCCAACTACTGAGAGCCAGACTCAAGACTGACATGGACAGCAAAGAGCTGGAGAGTCTGCAGGATGCTGCTACTATCAAGGCTCATGTGGAGACTGTTGGACCAGCACAGAGTTGACAAGTGTGTGTTTACAGAGTCCAAGCTGAGGGTGGCTGGAGAGGAGGGTGTCCAACTACTGAGAGCCAGACTCAAGACTGACATGGACAGCAAAGAGCTGGAGAGTCTGCAGGATGCTGCTACTATCAAGGCTCATGTGGAGACTCTGTTGGACCAGCACAGAGTTGACAAGTGTGTGTTTACAGAGTCCAAGCTGAGGGTGGCTGGAGAGGAGGGTGTCCAGCTACTGAGAGCCAGACTCAAGACTGACATGGACAGCAAGGAGCTGGAGAGTCTGCAGGATGCTACTATCAAGGCTCATGTAGAGACTGTTGGACCAGCACAGAGTTGACAAGTGTGTGTTTACAGAGTCCAAGCTGAGGGTGGCTGGAGAGGAGGGTGTCCAACTACTGAGAGCCAGACTCAAGACTGACATGGACAGCAAGGAGCTGGAGAGTCTGCAGGATGCTGCTACTATCAAGGCTCATGTGGAGACTGTTGGACCAGCACAGAGTTGACAAGTGTGTGTTTACAGAGTCCAAGCTGAGGGTGGCTGGAGAGGAGGGTGTCCAACTACTGAGAGCCAGACTCAAGACTGACATGGACAGCAAGGAGCTGGAGAGTCTGCAGGATGCTGCTACTATCAAGGCTCATGTGGAGACTCTGTTGGACCAGCACAGAGTTGACAAGTGTGTGTTTACAGAGTCCAAGCTGAGGGTGGCTGGAGAGGAGGGTGTCCAGTTACTGAGAGCCAGACTCAAGACTGACATGGACAGCAAGGAGCTGGAGAGTGCAGGATGCTGCTACTATCAAGGCTCATGTGGAGACTCTGTTGGACCAGCACAGAGTTGACAAGTGTGTGTTTACAGAGTCCAAGCTGAGGGTGGCTGGAGAGGAGGGTGTCCAACTACTGAGAGCCAGACTCAAGACTGACATGGACAGCAAGGAGCTGGAGAGTCTGCAGGATGCTGCTACTATCAAGGCTCATGTGGAGACTGTTGGACCAGCACAGAGTTGACAAGTGTGTGTTTACAGAGTCCAAGCTGAGGGTGGCTGGAGAGGAGGGTGTCCAACTACTGAGAGCCAGACTCAAGACTGACATGGACAGCAAAGAGCTGGAGAGTCTGCAGGATGCTGCTACTATCAAGGCTCATGTGGAGACTCTGTTGGACCAGCACAGAGTTGACAAGTGTGTGTTTACAGAGTCCAAGCTGAGGGTGGCTGGAGAGGAGGGTGTCCAGCTACTGAGAGCCAGACTCAAGACTGACATGGACAGCAAGGAGCTGGAGAGTCTGCAGGATGCTACTATCAAGGCTCATGTAGAGACTGTTGGACCAGTACAGAGTTGACAAGTGTGTGTTTACAGAGTCCAAGCTGAGGGTGGCTGGAGAGGAGGGTGTCCAACTACTGAGAGCCAGACTCAAGACTGACATGGACAGCAAAGAGCTGGAGAGTCTGCAGGATGCTACTATCAAGGCTCATGTAGAGACTGTTGGACCAGCACAGAGTTGACAAGTGTGTGTTTACAGAGTCCAAGCTGAGGGTGGCTGGAGAGGAGGGTGTCCAACTACTGAGAGCCAGACTCAAGACTGACATGGACAGCAAGGAGCTGGAGAGTCTGCAGGATGCTGCTACTATCAAGGCTCATGTGGAGACTGTTGGACCAGCACAGAGTTGACAAGTGTGTGTTTACAGAGTCCAAGCTGAGGGTGGCTGGAGAGGAGGGTGTCCAACTACTGAGAGCCAGACTCAAGACTGACATGGACAGCAAGGAGCTGGAGAGTCTGCAGGATGCTGCTACTATCAAGGCTCATGTGGAGACTCTGTTGGACCAGCACAGAGTTGACAAGTGTGTGTTTACAGAGTCCAAGCTGAGGGTGGCTGGAGAGGAGGGTGTCCAGTTACTGAGAGCCAGACTCAAGACTGACATGGACAGCAAGGAGCTGGAGAGTGCAGGATGCTGCTACTATCAAGGCTCATGTGGAGACTCTGTTGGACCAGCACAGAGTTGACAAGTGTGTGTTTACAGAGTCCAAGCTGAGGGTGGCTGGAGAGGAGGGTGTCCAGTTACTGAGAGCCAGACTCAAGACTGACATGGACAGCAAGGAGCTGGAGAGTCTGCAGGATGCTGCTACTATCAAGGCTCATGTGGAGACTCTGTTGGACCAGCACAGAGTTGACAAGTGTGTGTTTACAGAGTCCAAGCTGAGGGTGGCTGGAGAGGAGGGTGTCCAACTACTGAGAGCCAGACTCAAGACTGACATGGACAGCAAGGAGCTGGAGAGTCTGCAGGATGCTGCTACTATCAAGGCTCATGTGGAGACTCTGTTGGACCAGTACAGAGTTGACAAGTGTGTGTTTACAGAGTCCAAGCTGAGGGTGGCTGGAGAGGAGGGTGTCCAACTACTGAGAGCCAGACTCAAAACTGACATGGACAGCAAGGAGCTGGAGAGTCTGCAGGATGCTGCTACTATCAAGGCTCATGTGGAGACTCTGTTGGACCAGATATGGCATTTGCGCAGCGCTGTCAACCACACATTGGAGCGAGCCAAGGCCGGCGGCACTTCCAACACAGAGGGTATGTTACGTCAACAACTGTTGACTGTAGGCCTACTGGTATGTCTGAGTAGATTTTCCATACCTCTCTCAAATAGTTTAACGATTAAGATAGCTCAGTAGCTTACATTTTTGGTTGCAAAGACAACATTTCAAAGCTTGCAACTAGTCAAAAACCCAATTAAAACACAGCGTGAAAACGGTATGAATACACAAATATTTAGGGCTATCATAATACTAAAATAGCCTGGTGTGGCACGGGGCCACGCAGAGCACACACGAGTGAGAGGGGGCACGGGGGGGTAGCAGAGGCTCCCTTTAGCCCTATACAATATTTGTGTATTCGGACTGTTTTTATGTACGAGTTGTGTTTTATTTAAATTGTGTTTAGTTGAGTCTTTTTAATGTATTCAAAGTAATTCCCAATAACACTAAACCGTGTAGACAACCCGGCTAATAAGCACGAATCAGCTGACAGCCAATGAAGTAAAGGAAGGAGGTTTGCCCACATATGAGCTTCTTTTGTCCCTAAACAGTAAACAGTGAATCTCTGAACTTTTATTTTGGGTTGACTGAAAAAATTCACCCTGTTCAACTTTTGAGTATATCCGAGTCAAAATCCAAACCATTAGGGTAAAAACCCAATCATAATAAAGAGCATAAAGGTATATAAAGTAAAACATCTCACAGCCTTCAGGAGTCTCTTGAGACTAGTTGATGCAATTCTATGTTTCAGCCGGGCACAATCTGGGTAGTGAGGAGGTACAAGAACTGCAGGAGAAAGTGATAGAGCTCAAGTCACTGCTGTCCACCAAGCGAGAGCAGATAGCTACACTCCGAACGGTGCTCAAATCCAACCAGAACACAGCGCAAGTGGCTCTAAACAACCTCAAGTCCAAGTACGACAATGAGAAGACGGTGGTGAGCGAGACCATGACCAAACTGCGGAACGAGCTTCGAGTCTTGAAAGAAGACGCAGCTACTTTCTCCAGTAAGTTTTATTTACTTTCTGTTGTAAAGTGATTTGTAGAGGATCCTATGTTCAGAAACATCAGGATTCTTGTGTGACGTACAAGACAGCCAGATCAGCAACAGAACAAACGTAGACTTTTGGATACTGAAGTTGACCTTTATTAGGATGAGCTTAAAATAAAACATAATCAAAGCCACCTGCAGAGTGTACTACAGTCTTCTATTTATTGTATGTTAACCACCAACTTAAAGAACAGTTATTTTATTAACAAGTTTTAACAAGATTCATAATGTAAAGATGTAGTAATTTAAACTGAACTCTTATTTTGTTTGTTTTGCATTCATAATAAACAAAGAACATCTAATTGAATATATCAGCTGATTGTATAATATAGTAGAGGTATATAATACCTACATAAATGATTTATGGTTTTGTATTCCAAGTTATTTAGACTAAGTTGAAAAATATGTGTTAAGATAAATCGATAATTTATTTTTGCAAAATCTGTCAGTGGCTCAATAAAATTATGTTTAATATAATTCTAAATCTGGCTAAAACTTAACCCCCTTGATGCCAAATAATAGTTTAATATAATTCTAAATCTGGCTAAAACTTAACCCCCTTGATGAAAAATGTTTTATTAATTTCTCTATTATCAGTTAATTACTCAATAAGCTTGAAGAAGCTCAATAAGGATAGCACATGTACGGGATTCAAACCCACGCATGTAAAAAGACCTCAATGCAACGCTCGTAAGTGTAACACATTAGCCAAATGAGCTATCATGTTATTGTGGGCTGAATAGGTCGATTGACACTAAAAGCACTTCACTAGCGCCCGCAGGTTAGATTTCACAAACTATTTGAGCGTCAGTGGGTTAGCAGTACGGTTATCTCGCCGCAAAATGTGGTGACAAACTACACACGCAAGCTGTCTTCAATGGGTTAAACACGGGAATAGATTATAAAACTATCCTTAGTTGATGTTATTATTTATTTTCCTAAAAAAAAAACAATAACTTATGTTTTTAAAAGTAATTACTTGGTTTGACCAATAGTTCAGTATGAAAAATTTGGCCTTAATTGCTTTTACCACTAGTTTTAACTAAACCATATGTATTCATTTTAACTGTGCGATGTATTCATTTCAGAAAACATAGCTCTGTTTTTATTTTTAATACACGTTCCGCTACCTTTACCCCAACAGGTGGTTTGGAGGGCCCTCTAGTGTTAAATCCTTATGTGTTTCTAGGTTTGCGAGCCATGTTCGCTGCTCGCTGTGAGGAGTACGTGACTCAGGTAGACGAGTTGCAACGACAACTCGAGGCAGCTGAGGAAGAGAAGAAGACATTGAACCAGCTGTTAAGACTGGCCGTTCAGCAGAAGCTAGCGCTGACTCAACGTCTCGAGGAGATTGGTAAGATTTGAACCCTTGACTTCATTACTTCATCAATTAATTGTAGTAGGATTAATATGAGATGTGTAGGTAGCGGAGTGGTTATAGTATTAATCAATTTCTATTCTAATAAACCCCCCATTAAAGCACAGTCCGATAGTCCGATCATGCTGGTCTGCAAATTCGTTTGAATAAACATAGGTTTACACGGTTACACCAATATTTTATTGAAATAGGATTTTTTTATTTGAGTTATCAGGCAAAATTAAGAGCTTTTGTTCAAGGCTCAGGAAAATCAATGTATTCAATGTTTATGTCTAGCGCACTAAAAACCTGTAAAATTCCTTCAGAAGATTCCCTCTAAGTCGACCCACCGCTACCAGCAAGTGTTTAGTATTCCACTGTCGGAAGGCTTCCTGGAACTCCTCTATTGGAATAGTGTTCAGAATCTTTGTCCTTTTAAGCTTGAACAAAATGGCTTAACCCCCAACATTTAGGTCCGATTTCACCAAACACTTAAACTGCCGTTAAACCATAGCCTAACTGACAAAATCGGATCTCACCACTCGCCATTAGAGCTAGTTAAGACTAACTCGTCCCCAGATAATTAACTGCCCAATTTTGACCGGTCAACTTTTTTAATCTTTCGTTAAGTAAATAGCAGCTGGTTTTATGGAAAGGCCAAATGCTAGAAGAGCATAGGGTACGTATTAGCTTTTGAAAGTGATAGTGAAGAGTAGCCTTTGTTGTTCACCGAACTAGGTGGATAAGAGAAAGGGTTACTGATTTTAATAATTAATACGGAATTGATTTTTTACTAGATATGAACTATCAACACGTTTAGTCTTTAAGCTATCCCACAAGATTTTTAGTAAAGGCATATCTCTAGGTATGTGATCAGCGATCCCGTTGAACTGATAGGCGATTAATAGCCACTCTTTTATCCCAGCTAAAAAGAGTGTTTTTCTACCAACATTATCAAATTCCTTTTTTCATTGTTCGAAAAAATAGGCTCCCTTTTCCTTTTCCCGGTTTTGGGTAACCCTAACCTTACGGTCAAACAATTGTTTTGCGTTCTGTCAGACTTAATTAAGGAAACCTAAATTGTCATTATTCTGCTAGTATTTATGGAAAATCATTGTTTTGATGTTATCTGTGTTATGTCTCGTTCTTGTAACTCTTTTGCCTCCAGTTTTTTCACTACTTCAAATGTACCAAACTGGTTAGTTTTAACGAACAGAAGTCTTGAACTTCCTTGTAAAAAGTTATATTTTGAGTCTTAATTGATTCAACAGCAAAATTCAATCAATTCGTTCCTCAATGTAATATGTTTTAACAACATTGCTTTGTCTTTATTTACTCATTTGAATTATTTTGCTATTTATTCTTGTTTTCTTTTGTAATTTTTTTCTTGTTGCTCAGAATGTATTGCATTCTTCTAATCTTGCTGTCTCCAGTTTTGTTTTCACTACCTTAAACACTGATTTATTTTATAGGTTATGTTTACTTGCTTCCATAAAAGTCTGGTAATATGACAGTTCACTGCCACCGCCACCTGGATTTTACACTAAACTCTCATTTATAAAACCAGCGTTAGTTTTGACGCGTTTTCGTTGGTGAAACCGAATTTCCTTAACTGTGGTTTAGATCATTGGTTAGGTTTAACTGAATATTAACTCTACCATCGTTAGCGTAAATGTGGTGAAATCTGGCCTTAAGGATACCAGTTTAAACTTTGGTGATTCTTACTACAGCAGACTCCCTCTTATCCGGACACCTTTTTACCGGACATCGGTTTAACCGGACTACACTCGGCAGAAATTATATCTCTTTAACCGGAAAATCTTTATCAGCACATCGGTTTAACTGGACTAAATCGACAGGAAGTCGTCGGTACTGAAACAACTGTTCTCGTGGGAAAGATTTGAGACCAGTGATCACGTGACTAAATACGTAATAATCATTATTTTCTTATACATTATGGATCCAAATGGTCCGTTTTAACGAGTTTTTGGGGACGTCGGTTTAACTGGAAACCCCGTTATCCGTACTCGACCGAGGCCATTACGGATAAGAGGGAGTCTACTGTAATAAAGACCATAGTTACTCCTGCCTTATACCCATTAAAATTTCCCCCCCATTTAAATGTTTTAGGTTGTTCAATTTCAATGTCAAGCTAATGGGGAATATGCGTCAGTTTGTTGATATAGTTTATTTCCATTGAAACAGCAGGTAAATTTGAATGAGTCTGTGTTTGCAGAGGTGGACCGTGAGATGCGCAATGCTCGACGACCGCCTCAGAACAACGCAGCGCGAGGAATGAGCAGAGCCAGATTCACTAACCCTCGGAGAGATTAGTTTGAAGACCTTCCAACAAAAGGTGGACGTTAGATAGTAATAAGTCTTAGGTAAGACCTTCCCCTCACAAAAAATAATGGCTGGGTCATACTTTTAAGGATTAAAATCCGACTACCAACCATCCGATTTCAAGGAGTGTCGGAAACGTAAAACGTTAGATTAAATACTTAGGCATAATTTTATATTTAAGGTAAATATGTATTGTACAGAATGCCTCAAGGTATTTTACAAACTTAAGTTGAAGTTTTATCTAATGTCAATTACTTTATCAAAAGTTCTTTTGCTTTTGTCAAAAATTAATTTGAGTGAGAATACTCAAATTAATACCGTATTTAATTTCTTTATTATGGGGTATGGCCATGTTAAATGTGGTATAGGAAGTAGTTGTTATGCGATAGCGGTCCAAACATAACCTATTAGATGGGTTGATGCTGTTTATGTTTTTGTAATTAATTGTATTAATTTGCACCTAGCTCGGTAACTACCATTTTCAACACTTTGGCAGCTAAATGTGAATGTGAGTTCCATTTTGTAATTTATTTTTATACTTAAATCTATTCATATACTTTTAAGCTATACACCGATGTTATTTATTGTTGTTTTTTACTGTTTAGTAGTCCTACTGTTGATATTTTTCAATTTGTATTAGTTTATAAACGATTAATCATTTATCAAAGTATTATTTTCTAAAAATATTTTAACTTTTTAAATTTGTTATGATTAAAAATGTTAACATTTTTGAAACTGTTTAGTGCCCCGTTTTTACTGTGGACGTCCTAATACATTTATGAGCAATACCTAAGTTGGATGCATCTATTTAGATTTATAATGACCTTTTAATTTTCTTTTTTGGTTGTGCAAAAGTTGAGTTAACAACGTAGATAGGATGATAAGCCAGTGAAATATTTGTTATCAGCAAAGAACACAGCCCCTTCTGAAAATACATAGCTAAATTTTCTGAAAATTTAGATGTAGAAATAAGGACTTTGGTTTTTTTCTAATTTCCATGTCTGCCAGTTTTACTTTACTCGCTATATTTTGTTGAGCGCTCCTTTAACTTTTGGTTTGTTAAAAAAAATGTTTACAGGGCATGCAGTCATTTGTGTAAGGTTTGATTTTTCTGTTGAACTAATTGTTGATGTTATGATGTTTGCAATTCGATGTATAATTGGGTGCGGGCTCTAACAAATTTTTCCATCGTCTGTCTCTTTTAGGGTCAGGGTTCAATCAGGGTTAATCAGGGTTGCAAATTTGAAAATCCAACCAAAGTGATTAAAATATATCGGTTATATTTTTTGTATATTGTTGGTGACACTGTTACGGTCTATCTCAGTAGGCCTAATCTTCCATTGTTACAAGTAGATAAATTTCTGTCGGATTGTATATCCACTGAGATACTTTTGTGTTTCTTTCAGTTCTACATGAATTGTAAGAAATTAATGAGTTGGGAGCTCGCACCTGGCAAGCCAAGCTTTGTACAATGCAGATGTGTAAATAGCGTAAGAGTTGAGTTCCGTCGTTGTTCCACCGCCGTCCATGCCCTCACTGCCGTCCCTGGAATAATCCACCTCTCAATCTGTTCCGTCATTTCCAATATTTGAAAGTGGATCGAACGTACGCGGGGTTCCAATTGTGTCTCTTAATCCCTTAATTTAAATTTTTACATTTTTGTGTTTTTTTTTTTCAAGCGGAATTTGTTACTCTAATGTGCCTGTCTTGGAAAAGAGGTTTGGTCGCTTTCTAGACACATTACAAGGTATGGTTGCCATTTCAATGAAAAGTATTAAAGTAAAGTATTTATACTAAGGTTGTTGTATCACTTTATGTTTCTTTAGTTGTAGGCCTAAATAAAGGGAATGTTTACTCTGGCAACCGTTGTGGTTACTCTGGCAACCATTGTGGTTATTGCGGCAACCATTATAGTTAATTTGGTCAACTTCATTATCAGAGAGTGGAACCTGTTGCAGACTAATTGTATGAAATCTTGTTATTCTTTTACATGATTTAAGCCACCACTTACACTTTGAGTGCCATGTGAATCCATAGTGGTCTCACACCGAGTAAGGACTCTCTTGCCCCGTGAGACCACGTTGGACTCACATGCTAGTTCTGGATAAACTGCCCTGTGAAGTAAACTTGGCTTCACAGAAGGCATTAAACCATATGTAGTCTTAAAATAATGGGCCAGAACGTCAAGAAACTGCATTTGGCCTGTGGTTCTGTGAAGCCAGTGTGGAGTCACAGGGCCACAAAAGTAAGAAGAACGAAAACTCAATGGTTTTCAAAAAGATAATTTATTATTACACTAAATATGGAAAAAACAATTAAATTTAAACGTTAAAATAATAATAAAAATAAACTTGAAAAATATTTTAATTTTTAATTGTCGTTACTTAGAGATTTATTGCGAAAATGTCTCTCAAAAAATTGTCTCTTAGCTCAATGAAAACTACAATAATAAAAAAAGTAAACTTGAAAAATATTTTTTTTTTTTTTAGTGTCTTTACTTACAGATTTATTGCAATAATTTCTCTCAAGAAATTGTCTGTCTCAGCTCAATGAAAACTACAATACCGGCATAGCCTTATGGACAAGAAAAAAACACTCCAAGCAGAAGTTCTTGTTGCATGCGTCGCACTTGAACTTTGACTGCGGAGTTTTCCTCATTGCATATGTTCTTCCTTCGTCTTTTGACAGGATTTCATAGCATCTGTGACATCTCCTTCTTGCACTTCTTCCAGTGTCCACCAGCTTGTGTTGACCGTCCTCTTGGGGCTCAGGACCAGGCGCAGGAACAATATTTACTCTAGTTAGTCCTTCAACAACTTGTTCTTTGAAGTCTGTGATGCTTATTTTCTTTTCTGAAAGTTTGTTAAAAACATGAAGAGCGTTAACCATATTGGTTTCGGTTAGCACTTCGAAAGCTAATTTTCTGTACCACTTATTACCTTTACGAAGCGATGAGTTGTACCCCTTGATTTGGTCAGATGTGTCTATAAAAGCCTTGCTTTTATTATAATCAAGGATACTTTTCGGCTTTTGGATGGTGTCATTTCGTCTTTGAATGGTTTCCATTTCATCAGTATGTTTTGTTGACAAGATTAGCACATCCCTCTTATCACGCCATTTTTGCACTACAATGCCTGTATCACTTTCTCGAGCAATTGTCTCTCCCTTTTCTAGTTTGGCCTTGGTAACGTCAGTCGGGTTATTCTTTCGGTTACTTTTGAGTGTCCCAAGCAGATGAGTTTTGCGTTTCAGTAGCTCATGTGCCAGTGCTACAGAAGTATACCAGTTGTCAGTGCATAGTGTTCGACCCTTGTCAAGCAAACTCGACATAAGTGACATGACAACTTTTGTTGCGACAGAAGATTTTCCCTTTTCCTTTCCACAATACACTCTAAAGTCATAAGTGTACCCACCTTGCACACATAGTTTGAATAACTTTATTCCAAAACGATGTCGTTTGTTTGGGATATACTGCTTGAATTTCAAGCGGCCTCTGAAGGGAACGAGAGTCTCATCAATACATACTGTCTCATCTGGCACAACAGCTTTCTTATAAATTTCCTTGACAATATCAAGTAGTGGAGTAATTTTACTAAGACGATCCGACAAATTTATGTTCTCGTTGTCATTGAAATGTAAGTTCTTGAGGATAAGTTGAAAACGATTTCGTGACATCAATTTCTTCATCTCATTGTTGTATATTTTTTTCGTAGACCAATAACTTTGTATACTTGGGAACTTGCAGAGTCCCATCCACAAATAAATGCCAAAGAACTTTTCCAACTCTTGGATATTTGTGGATTTCCAGCGAGTTATCCTGGCATTTGGAGTTACACCCTTAGCAATGGTCTGCTCAGCATATCTGTTAGTCTGATCTGCAATATATTGCAGAAGTTCGTCACTTAAGAAGTATTTAAAAACTTCATAAGCAGTCTTGCCAGATAATTCTTCAATTACAGTCTGACTTAAACCGGGGTTTTGCTCAGAAAAAACAAAATGCTTCAAATTATCCCCGGTAACATTGTCCCATTTGATGCCTTCTACATCTGCATCTGGTGTAGAAAAGCCAATTTGCGCATCTGCTATGACTCTTTCAATGGTTTCTGTAATTGTGTCCCTTTCCTCTCTAGTCTCTATGTTATGTATTGCATAGTTGTGATCGCTATCTACAGCATTTCCTTCGTCTGAAGGTCTACATATAGTTTCAGATAGATCAGTAGGATTTAGGTTAGGCCTACTCGATTTTGGTTGATTTGGTTCTATATTATGATCTAGGACTATAGGGATCAGACCATCATAGTTAGCTTGGTCAATATCTAAGTTATCATCTAGGGCTAAAATCATCAGATCTGAATCATTATGGTTTTGTAAAACTTGATCAATTGTGTCACTGATAGAACCAATAGATGATGCTTTGGAAGTACTTGGAACAGATATATCCAAATCAGGTACGTCTATAATTTCTCTGTTAGTAGTAGGTTCTAGCTGTTTACCCTTGGAAATTCTCCTTTTCTTTTTAACATGTTTTTCTGCTTCTTCATCACTTGTAACATCACTTTCTGAGTGTGTTGGTTGATATTCATCAACTTCACGTAATTCTTCACTATCTGTTTCATCTTCGTCATCAGACATAAACTCCTGCCACAGTTTCATAACATGTTCATCTAAAGTTTTGTATCGTTTTGCCATTCTTTCACAATCAAATCACATCACTTTGTAACTGTGCACTGTATGATTCCAACCATAACCTCAAACAACAGTGGGAATAAACACAGTCATGTAACTGTGCACTGTATGATTCCAACCATAACCTCAAACAACAGTGGGAATAAACACAGTCAACATGTGTGGGATCGTCAATTTCCGTATGATATTGTGTAAATCCGTAAACGATCGGCAGAGCTCAGCTGATTATTGTGGTGCCACGTTGGATTCACAGGGCCCAGAGTTAGTCAAGTTATGTTTATGGCCTCGTGAGACCAATGTGGCACCACGTTCAAAGTGTGGTGACACATTGGTCTCACGTGGCCAGATATTACCAAAAGATCAATAATGGCCCAGTGGTACCAATGTGGTCTCACAAAATAAATGTTAAAAATTATGAATAAAAATTAATAATTATTCATAATTTCAGACTATAATTGATATTATAGTTAATAATGAACACAATTAGGCAAAAAATAAAAATGGGCCAAATGGAAAAGTTTTTTTTCTAGCATTGGGGCACTCAAAGTGTTAATTCAATTAGTTTGAGAAACAACAAATAAATTTGTTAAAATTTAAATACAAATTTTGTAAATGATTGAACATGTGTTAATATTCCACAATGAGGTCCTATTGAGATGTACTCGAGATGAAAACAAAGTCCATTGTAAGAACCGTTCTGAAATGCCCTAATGCTTTCTTCCCTCCATTGAAACATAACCGTCAAAGTATCTGTGTCTGGTTTTACCGGATTGAATTGGTTTAAACCACCAAGACAAAATCCATGTGATAAGTTTCCTTCAGGTGAAACAATTTTGGTTTCCTATTTGTCGCAATGTAAGGATTGATTGAATGGTTGATTTTTATACTTTTTATACTATATTGTGTGTTGTTACTTCAGAATATTTTATATTTTTTAAGTTTGGCCTTGTTAATAACTAATTATTGCAGGTATGTATTTTCAATGATTTAATGAATTGTATGGTTTACCCCACGTCTATTGTTTGTTTTGTGTCAAAAGACTAACATTTATTTAAATTTGAATAGGTTTAGGTTTCCCTGCTGTAGTTGGTTGACTATGTAAGGCGCCACTTACATGTTTATAAGACTGCTTCGACCAATTACTTGTGATGCATATATAATATTATTGTTGTTTTATCCTTTACTCAATGGTTCTCGTATCACAATAGTATTTATGTTTACTCTGTACCCACTTCTTGTTACGTAGTAACAATGTTTTACCTTAGTATTAAAAGTTAAAGAAATAATCCTAGGTAGTGGTTTCAGGGTGTTCTGTATTTACCTAAGGTTTACGTATGTGCAATATCAAACAGGTATTATGTAAATATATTTTGTATGTAAAACGGGAAATGTAATTTTTATAAGACTAATTGAAGTTTTATTAGAAAATGTCTGAAAAAACTTTACTTGTATACTTTTTCAAAATTTTAGGTAGTGTGTTTTTGATTGCTACACTGTCTAGTTTTGCTATTAGAGCCTTTGTCAATTCAAGTTTCAATCAACAAAATATTATCTTTCTTTCAGTTACACTACCAAAGATTTCTTTAGCGTCTTTCTAGCATTAGTATTCTTGTCATACTCAGAATTTTAGAAAGAAGTTATAAGTCAAAATTTCTTGTGATTTGTTGTGTTATTTACTTTTTCACCTGTGTTTGTTGTATCAGACAATTTAAAAATATGCTATTGTTAATATTTATTTTCAGCTATTTATTAAACACTGTTTACTAATAAAGTATTAAGATTTATTCGTTGATTGTTCCCCTTGTATCTTAAAGTTTTAAGAAAATGTCTTTTTTTAAGCTTGAAAAATAAGTGAAGAATGTAAGGTTGAATGTTTTGGTTCCTTAAAGCAAATTTAATTGATCTTTTTTCATATGACTTAATAATTTTTTATTTTTTTGCTGTAAAACTGCTATGAAAAAGTCACTTGCATTGAAACTCAAATTGCAGTCATTGTTCAACACAAACAGACAAACCTTAATCAGTACAGTCCTATCCTGTACTTACTAGCAGTTATAAACTCTAGAAGAGGAACAGGGGCAGTCAAATATAATGGTTATAAAAAACCACTAGATGGACAGGAACAGTAAAATAATCTATATATTAATGGGCAAGCAGTTGTCTTTTCACAGTCATAACTCCATAACTGCTTGGTGGATTTTAACATTTGAGGTGCCAAATTAAAGGTGTTTTCAGGTAGATGTGCAAATACGTCTCAGAATATTAAGAAAGGGCATCACTTAAGTACATTTGAGGGCTAAAGTTTCGGGACGGTTGTGCTATCTGTTGACAATAGATAAAACTCAATTCCCTTTGTTTACAACTAAACATATGGACGTAGATTAAAATAGGTCTTAAGGTTAACCACAGACTGCTACTGCTTATTATTACTGCTTGCTTATTATTGCTGCTGTTTATTGCTTACAGTTCCAGAGCAAAGCCGGAATTTATATTTTGGTTTTAACTGTTACTGATTACTGTTAAATGATTTTTGACTGTTAACTAAGTCTGCTTCAAAAGACTTTCCTTGCAACACTTGACAACAAATTTGCTGTAATAAGGAGTTAGATTTACATTGTATTTTACTGAATCATTCGCTAGTTGGTTAATTATACATGTGTAGTGGCTTTGGTTATATATTCCCACCCCTTTAATAGTGTTTAACCATTACTTCGCTGCTCAGTGTTCACATCAATCTACTAGTGTTTATATAGGCCTAACCTTTAATTTGTATTTCCGTCTCTATTTGAAACTTTCAATGTAGGTTTTGTAGCAACATAACTCATTTGGAGGTGTTAATTTACATACAGTTTTTGGTGAGTCGGTAGCGTCGCGGACTTCGGGCCCAAGGCAGTAGTGTCGTGGGTTCGGATCCTAGTCACTGCCACTAACTTTTATCAGTACAGTTCACCTTTGTACTGTACCGGCTCACCCCTTGCTTTGCTGGATACGTTCCACGCACAGATCTGTAGTCTATGTGGACGGGCAAATGCAAGGTTAAAAGAAGCCGCCAACCTCTTAAAAAAAAAAAAAAACATCTTGGCCTACTTCTTAGAAAATTGTCCAGTTAGTAATGGCTGGGCCAGGCTTCTTGAAAAATGAAAACTCCACTGGCAAATGTTCTATAAAAGATCTGCAATATTCATAATTGTCAAGAGTGTGTTGTGCTTAGAAACATTTTGAAAACTTTTTCAAAAAATTTTTGTGTCATATATAAAATAAGATTTATATGAAAATACAGGGTGTTCAAAAATGTTCGGATCATAATTTACGTAGTGTTTCCTTGGGTCAAAATTAAGAGAAAATGAAGAATAACCTTTTTTCCAAAATCACTTTGTTAACCAGATATTCACTATTTTGTATTTTTTACATTAACGTTTTTATCTTTGAAATTTTTCAACCGATCTCTATGAAACTTAGTATGGATGTCAAGGTAAAAGAGACCCATGTTAGAAAAACAACTTATTTTGATTACTAAAAACGGCTGATATTTTATAAAAAAAAAAAATCAAGAACACTTTTATTTTATATTTTTTATTCCCTATCAAACATAACGATACCAAGTTCAAATAGATTGTATAAGAAATAGCTGCCATATTATGATTTTTAGTTGTAAAACGGAGTGGAATAAGGCTAAGCTAGTCAGGTTTGTCCGTCCCATTAAAAAAAACATAATATTTTAGCTCTTTCTTATTCAATCTTTTTAAACTTGGTTTCGTTTGATAGGGAATTAAAAAATGCTAAGTAAAAGTGTTCTTCATTAAATCAACCATTTTTTTGTAATTTAAGTTGGTATCTATTTTGAAATTTTTAGGTGAATCAAAATGCATTTTTTTAACTTAGGTCTCACCTACCTTAACAAACAATCCAAGTTTCATAAAGATCAGTTAAAAGAATTCAAAGGTAAAAATGTTTATATAAAAAAATACAAAATGGTGGATATCTGGTTAACAAAGCGATTTTGAAAAAGAAATGTTATTCTTGCTTTCTCTTTAATTTTGACCCAAGGAATCACTACGTAAATTATGTATCCACCTTTTTTTAACACCCTGTATAAAATATTAATATTTTCAGTAGGTAATGTAATCCGGAGCAGACATGTTTTGACCTACCTAAGCTTAAGCTTACGATCACGTCCTGAATGAATTAAAAGGCTTACAGTGGATTCACATAGGAAATCTCTTTACTGGGCTTAGTTAGCTACACTTTGTGGTTAAACTCAAATATATTTACATTTTTAACAAAACAATTAAATCAACACTAATATAAATCTGTTGTCACAGAAAATACCTAATTAGAAATATACAATACATATAACTAAAATTTTTTGTATAGTTTATATTTATTCTATATCAAAATGTGTAAATAATATCAATTCACTCGTTTAACTGGTAATGAAAATGATTCGTACTATGGTAAAAGTTAACAATATTCTAATATTTTTTTTATGAAAAATCATAATACCCCTACTAATCTTACAAAATACATGTACAAAGTATTCAATAGTCTCCTTGTTGCTATAATAATCGCTTTACAATAAGGAAATTAATCCTAAGAAGTAAGAAAACATATGATGAGGCAGAGAGATTTGGGAGGTAGATATGTTATTGCGAGACGGAGAGATTATTGCGAGGCAGAGGTGATATTTTGAGGAAGAGAGATCATTGCGAGGCAGAGATATCATTGCAAGGCAGATATGTTATTACGAGGCACAGCGAGATGGTGAGTCAGGGCGAATCAAGGCTACGCAGATATATGGCTAAGCAAAGAAATATAAAATAAAAAATTCTAATCTATACATTAATAGTTAGGCAAGCATGTTTCTTTAAAATCTTTTTTTAGCTTGTGTGCATCACAGGGAAAATTTACGCATAGTTTTAGAAAGATATTTTCCTATAGATGTGCAAAATTCCGTTACTTATAAATTAAAGGCTCAAAATAAGCACAAAAAGTGAATTTGTAACTTAAAAAAGTAACATTGGTTACCATGCTGGTGACAAAATAACAACGAAATATAAACAGAAAACCCATACAAGTGAAATAAATTCCAATCACATGTTTTATTTTCAGCGTGAGGTGAAAGAGAAGTCACATTACATATTTTTGGTCGAGTTCTCGACCACTGGACGACCTCTAGTTTAATTAAAACCTACAAGAAATGTCAAATTCTGCACTCATCCTTCTACTCATCATTAGCGCACTTTCATACCCATCTAAATTAGTTGTGACAGTTGTACAATATGAGTCTAAGGATGATACATCTCAGCATTCCCTGCATGATAACTGATAACGATAAAGGTCGTGAATAACCAGCGTCCCGACGGCGCCTCTGAAACATCTCGGCGCCACCCCTTCCCACCCCCCTCATCCCCCTCACCCCCCCCCTCACGTCTTCATACTTGACACGTGACCCATTACGTTTACACTCGCAAAATGTGATTAATTTTGCACCTAGTGTCGTAATGTGTCCGATACTGGAGATGAGTATGCGTTTATGAAACCCCTTCTATTTGGTTTGAATCGTTCTGGCTAACTTCTGAGTGCAGAGTAAATTGGAAGTTATCTATAACTTAAATAAAATTTAAAAAAATCAAATTATGTTTAGAGAAGATAATAACTATTAAATTATAAAGGGAGATAAATATTTGTTTAAAATTAGTACACCCCCTCCCCCCCCCCCCCACACACACACAGAAAGGAAATCGGTCCGGGATCTAGGTCTTACACTTTCCACAAGACCAACAGTAGCTTATTCCCTACGAGAAATTGGATAGAAATATCAATGATTTGTTTGACTTTTTTAATAAAGTGAACAATATCATTCTAAGATCAATAAAAACCATCGATCTCTACTGTGTTGTATATCTTGTATTAATATAGATCGATGGGTTAAACCGACGTGCTGATAAAAGTGTCTGTCTAGAGGTCAGTACGTCAAGTCTTTCGATTGTAGTTCGGTTTAACCGATGTCCGGTTTAACCGCCAGTACGTCACGTATTTTGATTGTACTCTGGTTTAACAGATGTCTGGTTAAAGGTGTCCGGACAAGGTGAAGTCTACTAATCTTTATCTAATATCTACTGTACTTCAAACTAGGTTTAAGACAGATGCAGCATTTTAAAGTAGGTAGAAAATAAGTTGGTGTTGGACGGGATTTGGACCCGGAACCTCGGGGACCGATCTCGAACTCTGCCACTACCACTAAACCATTTCGATGCCGACGATGCCTCTTTTTACTACCAACCCATGTATCTACACAAAGAACAACACCTTTAAGCAATTAATTAAATTCCCGAACTGGGAAATTTAGCGTCGAGACAGCGGCAACACTGGTCGTGTCTGCGCATGCGCGTGGGGGCGCGGCTCTCTCGGCTCAGTCAGTGTCTGACCGTCGAAGAGTGCGGACGCGTCGAGCACAGTCGCCAAGCTGTCTGGACGTACGAGCACTACTGCGGGTGCCTCGGGCAGCCGCGACCGTAAACATCGGTCCAGGTCTTCCTCTAGATATGTCGACAAGCCGAAGAAGAAGAAGCAGACGTCGAGCGTGTCGCTGGTCAGCATACCCAACACCATCAAGCTGTCCATGCTCAACAGCGGGCTTATCTCTTTTGGTGAGTGATAAGGGGTGGACAGCGTGCATGACCTGACAATTTGTTTGTATTATCTTGTCTTTTGACACAATTTACTCATTCCCTTTTGGTAGACGTTTGTATGAATTTGGTGAAGGTTTGTCGAAATATTTATCAAATTTCGTAAAAAATCTACTGGTACTTGAATGTATATGTTATCTTACAAATTGAATCATGCCGTAAAACGTGTATTTTACAAGCGTCGTCATGCAAGTGAAGAGGTTTTTTTTTTTATTTTCATACAGTACTCGAAAAAAAATCTAATGAGTATTTACAGGACTAACTGTGGGGGTTGACTATGTAACGAATTCAACATCCTACTAAATTAGAAAAATAAAATGCTTTCATCATTCGAAATTCGTACATTCTAAAAATTTTTTTTTGTATAGTTGCGATTTAAAATGTTCTTAAAAATGTACAAGCTGTCTTGGTAGTTCGATATTTACATACATAGATTAACTCTTAAGACATTTCTGTGCATGGTATAGTACATAAATGAACTGAGTTATTAACAGAATGTTATTAAGATTTGCTTTAAAATGCATCAGAGTCCAACAAATATGAAGCCCACCGAGTGTCTTCAACAAAAGTTTATAATGTTTTTAAATGTTATTCAACTTCTATTGAAACCATTCAAATGTTTAATTAACTTCTGGTTTATTATAGGTGAAGTAGTGTAGTTAAACGTATACGTTTACCTACAAATAAACGTTTGCCAGCACTGTTGTATGCCATTAATTATTACTGGTACCGATTACACATTACTTAGAACGTGTTAGTATGTTAATGCAATACTCCAACCTTTAACACTCAAATCAAGCCATGGTTTACAATGGTTCGCTTTCTGATTCGCTGTATGGTCTAATATATCTAACGTTGAATCATTTTCAGATTTTAAATGCAAAATGTGCTCACAAATGATTCCCAAGTTGTTATAACGCCACTAAAAATGTTTCTCATAATGTCTATAAATGCATAAGTCTATTTATGTATTCGCCTACCCGGAATAAAAGGATTGATTATTAATCCTACGTTGACAATTAAAAGCATTCGTTATTGAAGTGATGTGTTAAAGTAAACGTATTGGATACACGAGATCGGCATTACAAAATAGTATCATCCATAGCATGTTATAGGCCTACAACACAGAGCCGATAGTGTCTATAGTACAGTACTACCTGTTGAACGTCAAACAAAGCTCAGAACTCACTTTAGAGAGTTAAAATCCTCATTGATAATTGGATAGAGAAAACATACTTAACATACTTTGTATCCTCTATTTTTGAGGATTATGAGCGTTGCTTGCCTATATTATACCTTTATTATACTTAGATTTTTTTTATTTTTTTTTTTTTAGTGAAAATATTTTACTACTTATATATCGTATGGTAAAACATATAGCTTATGATTGAGCTGTATCTTCTCTATTCATCGTATTTCTTATAATTTTTAATCATGATTTTAATCCTTATGTTTCGTAAATCACTTTTACCGCATTTATAGTGTTAGTGTTGGGTGTTGGTAATCAAAAGAAATCTTCTATATTGGAAAAAAATTGCATGGTAATCCAAGCATGAAGAATTTTCCTTCTACTGCTTATTAAATTACAGTAGTCGGGGAAATAATTCGCCTAACAGTTTAAGAAGAAATCTAGAAAATACTACCAAATAGATCCATTCTAAAACACTTCGGAATAAGGGTACGTTGCAGCCTTTTGAGGTTAAAGGGCGAAGTTTGAGGGACAACTTGTATTTAGATTGATCAGGACTTTGACGCGGTTGATACTTGGTTGATGTTCAAGTTTGAGTTTACTCGCAATGCTAAGTTCGGAAGATGTAAGTAAAACATATGTGTTGTCACATACCTATCATTTTACCGAATTTCGCATACAGGGAATGAGCTTACGGTATGTCTCATGGTCCTGGCGATGTATGTTATTTTCGGTTTGGTGTCCTCAGAAGCGAATAAACCGCATGCTCTAAGTCGTATATAACGTACTGTATAATATTTTTCTTGCATATATATAGGGTGATTGGTACTCAGTGTGACAAGAATTTGAATGGGCGCTGTTTTTGGCATCTGCGAACATCAAAACAAAAAAATAGCTCATCGGTTCCGAGTATAGTCCCTATGTGAGAAATTCATTAAATCACAAAACTTATGACGTTGTTTGAGAGAAAGAGAACAAATCTTACTGAAGTGAAATATGGATATTAAACATTATCAGAAAGATTTCAATCCGATCCGGAGGAGTTTAAGAGAAAAAATATTTGAATTGCCGATAAAACCGACGAAGAAATTTCATGATTTATACGTATAGTATACAAAATGTCTTTTATGTATCCTACCTTCACTACTTAGGACGCTACTTCCTAGCCCGGAACTGTTTTACACATTACAGTACTTTAGGCTAGTCTTACAGGGTTGTGGCATTATCACTTGGATAAAAAACATTGGTAATTGGCGGGATTTGAACCCGGGACCTCGGGTTTCGAAGTCTCAAACTCTAACACTAGACCAGTTTACAAAGGATTACTGATCCCATTGTTCGTACTTCTTCATGTAAATTGTGTACTGGACATATTTGTAGCTAAACAGTGTCACAGAAAAAAACCTTGTTTGATTTAATACACGTTGTTATCATTCTTAAAACAGATAACAAGCAAAGATCTATGAGTAGGCTATCATCTAGTTTAATTTGGACTAGATGTCGTCCAGTGGTCGAAAACTTGGCCAAAATTTGTAATGTACAGTCTCTATTTTCACTCAACGCTGTAAATAAAACATGTAATTGGAACTTATTTTAATTGTTTTGATTTTTTGTATATGTTTCGTTGTTATTTCGTCACCAGCATGGCAACCCATAAGCCCCCTTTTATTATTTATATTTTAAATTCATTGTTTGTGCTTATTTTTGAGCCTATCTTATACCTTATTTATAAAGGTATTCTGCACATCTACTGGCAAATAACATTCTAACAGTATGCGTATATTTTCCCTGTGATGAACACGAGCTGAGAAAAAAGGTTTGAAAGAAACATGCTTGGCTATTAGTATATAGATTGTTAAAAAATACAACAAGGACATATAGAGGTGTAATTTTTCTAACTCTTTCGACAGTATGAAACAGTACAGGTTAGAACCATGCTCTGGGGCAGGTTCGTGTATTCAATGTAACCAGAGAATTGCGTTGCGCGTTCAATCGGGGTTATTTCTGTAGCGGATTCATCTAATCCAGTCTTTCTCTGACCCAACAAAACCCTATCCTAAACCTAAATAATCAACTTTTTGTGGTGTCCAATGCCTTGGGCTCCAACACGGTTTAGAGTTCTTTCAATTAAGTTTAAAATAGCAATTCAAATTGTTAATCCGTATGTTACCTCATGCACAATTTTCTACATAAAATGTAACAATTGTAACATTGTCTTAGAATTGTGCTAGACATCTCATCCTATTGTGAATTCTGAAGCTTGTTTTTATATGTTTCATTTTGGTTACGTTTAAAGTGCGATGATGTCAAATAAAATGTTTTACTCTTATAGGGTAGAATTTACGATTTTCGCTTTTAAAGCTGGTTATAAATTGAATCAGGCTGTTGTTTGCATTCTATAGAGAACCACACTATTAAAAGCCATTTTACAATAGTCATTGCTTTGGAATCACCACAATGAAATTGCAGGAAATAAATTGTGTTGGTGAGGGTTCTATGGTTCTATATCTGTAGCGGTTTCAAGTAAACTTACTTGTAACATTGATACAGTATAAACCATTCTAAAAGCGTGTAGATACGTTTAAACCAAAGAAACTTCTTGCAAACCCTGAATCTATATAAAGCTAATAAGAATCACGAACTTTTAGGCAATCGTTTGAGTAAAAGCGCACTATCGACTGCATACATGAATGAAAGTTCTCGATGAGAAACTTCCCCGAAAAATACCAGTTGTTTAATTATATACACTCTCCTAATACTAACCTAAATTGAAGGTCTGTATCAAATCACATTTTAAAAATATGCGTCAGCTGTTCGATATTTTCTTTTTATAATTGTTTGTTTACATTTCTCCGGAGTTTAACCTCTTTATTGTTCCTTATCACAGTGTTCTAAGTTAAATTTTCGATAAAGTAATTGTAGTTTCGATTTTGTTCTACAGCTAATCACAAATATATAAACCAGAGGAGATATTTGTTTAAATATGCAGTACAGTCGACCTGTGCTATAATCATTGGTAAGTGTGTAACTTTTTTTTCTGAAGATTAAAAGAACTTCATTAACTCATTATCTTCCGTATTCCAATACCGATGCGAAGCACGGGTAAAACAGCTACTAACTATAACAATATTATACAACCCTACTCCTTGACAACGTCACAAGGCTAATTGTTTAACGTCAATTCAATAAGATGTTTTGATACATACTATGAGAATGCATCGGCGATAGTTATTCCGACAAGACCTTTAATAGTGAGCAAATTATTTATTTTTTACTTAATATCGTTCATAAAAAACAATGATTATGCAGTATACATTTGAGTACTTTACAGTACAGGCGTATTTTGTATCCCTGCAATTATGTGCAAATATTGAAAAAAACTAAGAGTTTTCTTATATTCGTCCTTAAAACTTTGTCCTCACAGTTTAAAATTTTTTGGGAAGGAATCTAGTCTATTGATTGAGATCGTTGCTTTGGTCCTGAGGTTTCGGGTTCAATTCTCGCCAATCACTAACCCCGTGACCCTGGAGTGTGTTAATCCGACACATCCGGACGAGTACCTGTGGGGCTCACCCCTTCGAGAAAATGAATTTTCCTGACAAACAACGTGAAAGAATTTCCCTCAAATCTAGCTCGGGGCTGGACGAACACATCACTCACTGAAAGTATGGATTTGTCATCAGCCTACCCGTGTGAGCTGTCAATCGTCCATAGGCTATCTCTCGGACCACCTGTCGTTGTCATTGACTACATGTCCATTGACAAACTCATC